ACATGGCTGTCATGATAACACAGCAATAAAAGAATTCGAAAGACACGCGAATTGTAATAATAACAAAATGTTAAGACATCATTCACATTATTTGTACACTTATAAAAACGTTTATCGAGCATGACTTCTACACTTAAATATAGTCTATGTGAAGCTTTTCCATTTCAAAAGAAAACAGTTCTTACGCAGAAACTACAACTCCTTTACTTTCCGTATTAATTCTTTGTTCATCATCATCATCAGCCTATTAATGTCCCCACTGCTGGGGCACAGGCCTTCTCTTTGGATGGAATATGGAGATTGGGCCATGACCCACCACGCGGGCCTAGTGCGGATTGGCGGGTGCTAACGACTGCAGATGCAGTCGGAACCAACGGTTTAACGTGCCTTCCGAAGCACGGAGGAACTCGAGATAGAAGATTTTTGGTCACCTATCCAATGACCGACCACTGCGAAAGTTTAGCAAACGTATTTCTGACAACAGGTTTGGTATATCTCATTACTTTAAAGGTAAAGGAAAAACGTTGTTTTATGAGGATTAATCCTCATTAGGTATACCTTATTAGGTATCCTGACGCTATTTTTAAGTACTACAGCTAAGGTGAAAATTACGAAAAAAAGCCATTTAAGCGATTTTTCACGTGAAAACAGCCGTGCTACATGTTTCTGCTACAATGTCTGCTAGTTTCAGCTTCATTTCTTTGTTACGACAAAGTAGTACTGGCAGCCGAAGGACTTTGTTATGAAGATGAAAAACAACGACAACACCATATTAAGATAATACAAATATTTTAAATTGAACATCGACCGACGCATAATCCGGTCGAATAAAACAGAAAAATAAGAGTGTAGCTACATAAATTAACATCAAGCTGGAAATGAGTAAAAATTTTCCAAATATTGTTGTTGTTTCTAAATTCCACATTGTCCGGTAGCGGTACTTGAAAAAAAAAATACTAGAGTTCAAATAAAAGTGGGGTTTTCGCGATTTTCAACAGAACGATAAGTTTTATAGTAAAATTACCTCGGACAAAAATTGTAGATGCTATACTTATCTATACTAATATTATGAAGCTGCAGAGTTTGTTTGTTTGATTGAACGCGCTAATCTCTGGAACTACTGGTCCGATTTGAATGATTCTTTCAGTGTTGGGTAGTCCATTTATCGAGGAAGGCTATAGGCTATATTTTTTTTTCAAAATTAGGGATCCGTAATAAAATTGCTATTTAATAACACAAGGTGTAAAATCGAATACCTATTTTTGCGTGCGCTACAAAAACTATTGACAATAGAACAAAATGATGTATTACGGGTTTCTTGATCCCATTAAGACCTACAAAAAAGTCCGCGAGAACATATATCTAGCTATCATGGTTTAATCACAATAACCGATTTTGTGTTCGAAATAATTATTAAATCGTCTGAAGAAAAAAAACTACGTTAAATATGTATCGTAATATTAAAAACACAAACAACCCTTAATTTTCACCCCTCTACCACCCATATTTTTATGGCGATACGAAGTTCGCTGGGTCAGCTAGTAATCTATTATAGATTATAGATTTCCTAGAAAACCTTTACAATTATACATCTTTAAAAAAAGGTATCAATATTTTTTTGCTGAGGAGCAACCATTCCTGAGTTATAACGATTTAAACTACCTGCTTAGATTAGTATCGATATGCATGTTTTGTTAAAAACATTCAAAATAAATAGCAAGCGCAAAATTAGCTTGCCTTTCTCCTAACTCAGTTGTTACAGCTCATCTACATTTTTTTTCCGGTTATATTACCAAGTTCAAGTGTGGCTTGATGACTCAGCTTGACCCAAAAGACTTGGAAGAGACAAAAGGGTTGGAAGTTGGTCGACAATACATTAGAACCTTAGTAAATAAAATAATCAAAGATTAGAACCAATTCAGTTGACTGTTTTGCTCACTAGCATATTTTTCCAAATACCGGAACGACCGACGGGGTATTAAAAAAAAAGTTTTGAACAATTTTACTAATTTGTTGTACATTTATGTACCTTTGAATGTCTAGATTGACCGGACTAGCATGCAAGTAAAAAAATATTATAAGGACAAAGAATTATTCTAGTGGAACTAAAAATAATACTATTTACCAAAATAGATCCAAACTAGAACGTCGCTGCGTTTTAAATTAGACTTCTAAAATATTTTTCTCTATGGTAACAATGTTATAAGTACTTGTGTGTGCATATTTCAGAAGTACGAATTACAAAGAAGTTGGCGGTCACTCATTTTTGGGCGCTAAATAAATCGCGTCCTATATAACGATCATGGATGCTATTAAAAATTTTATTTCAAAAATATCCATTTCCATACTAATATCATAAATGCGAAAGTGTGTCTGTCTATCTGTCTGTTACCTCTTCACGCTTAAACCACTGAATCGATTTAGATGACATTTGGTACAGATATTGGATAGGTTTTATCCCAGAAAGAATCATCTAATGACGGACGGGGTGAAAGTTTGTATGGGAAACCAATATTTCAACGCAGATAAAGTCGCGGGCAGACGCTAAAATATTCTTTGTCTATCAAGTAAAGTAGCAGTAAAACAGATAGCAATATAACTTTCTCGCTTTCAACCAAACCAACTCGTATGACCTAAGGCGGCGGGCAGCGATTAATTTCATTGCTTCCGTTTCATGCAGAAGATGGTCATCGAACGCGCTACCAAAAGAGTTTTCATGCTCATTGAATCAACAGTTCATAACTGCGTCGTAATGGTTTGATTCAAATCTTTGAGCACTTTAATAACTTTGATGATGATGATTTGGTGAAAATCGCGTGAGCTCGATCGTAATACATATAGAATCAAGAAAAGTACAATTAAGGCCTTCGACTTAGACCAGATTTACGTAAGTAGACCTAATTTACTTGATAATTGAAATTTTGGTAGATTGAAATGCTAACCATGCTTTTAAAATATTATTGACAATTACTTCATAGTTTTTATTTTAAGCATTACCATTTCTAAAGAAAAGCCTTCTCAAACTATTGTTAAAATATTTTTTTTACATAAAATCCGCAACATCCGAAGTATTGAAAAGAATGGATACCTAGATTAAGAAATACCAAATTGCATACCAAAGTTAACTGATTTATTATCGAAGTTAAATCGGTCGGTTAATGTGACAAGTTGATGATAGTAACGTAAATTTAATTTTAATGACACTTTTATTGGTGGTATATACGATTACGGCAGATAAGAATTATGCATCAGATATCAAAGCAGATATTATGTTATAGGTAACTGAAAATAATTTCTTCTGTTTTAAAACTATCATAGTAATTTATGTAATTCTCGGGATTGTTACCATGTAATGTAAGTACCTTGCTACTCCGTGATTATGGCACTTGCAACATTGTCGAAATATCGGGGACTCGCAAAAACGACGTACCAATCTCGCAATTTGCGTGAATTAATAAGACAACTGTTTCTTCTTAGAATACTGCCTATCTACAAGGTTATTTAATTTATAGGTTATGAATACCCGTATGCCTTGAGAAAGAATTAGTGTAGTCAAAGATGGTAGAAAAGTTAATGTTTGGGAATTACTAACTAGAGCAAATGGAAGCGCGATATCTTTCTAGTATTGAAATGCGAAAGTGTCCGTCTGTCTGTTACCTCTTCACACTTAAACCGCAGAAGAGATTGAGATGAAATTTTATATAGAGGTAGTTTAAATCTCGGGATAGGACTTGGGATAGATTTTATCCCAGAAATCATTCTTTAAAGGAGCGGTAACCCCCTAAATTTTTAGGTTGGAAGTTTGTATGGGATACTATTTTTTCGGCGCAGACGAAAGACGTGGGTTGGGTACACATTAGTACTTTAATATTATTGAATGTACCTATTTGGAAACTCGATCATGCTCATGCGACAGTGAAAGTATCAGCGGCGACTTTAATCTGATAAAATATTACACACATCTCAATGTCACCAGTTCACGATTAACATATCCATGATCTCTTATTGCTCATACTTTTCGATTTCTTGTTAATTTTAAATTTGGCCAATTTTATACAGAAATCAAACTTCCTAGCTAACTCATAAAAAAGATACGGCGTTTTATGTGTGCCTGTCAAGACTCTTTATCTCGAGAACAAAGGTACAAACAAAAGTCTATAGTCCCTAAAGCTGTGTAAAACTTAAACTTCTGAATTAAATATTGAATAAGTTATGGCCGTTTATCTGTCTGTCTGTCAAGACCCTTTAACTAGAGGTATCGAGTTGAAATTTAAACCATATACTCACTCCATATATCAAAAACTCGATACCTTTTTCTACTGTCCCTTAAAGCTGTGACAAAATAAAAATTCTAAGTTGACGTAAAAAAAGGTACGGTCGTTTATGTTGCGTACCTACAAAGTACGGAACGCTCAGTGGGCGAGTCCGACTCGCTCTTGTCCGGATTTTTATATGAGATTAGAATTCGTGAATTAATTTACTTTTAGTTTATTATGTTTTTAATTTTAAACATTTACCTGCTAGAATTAGAAATCTAAAGAAAATTCCGCGTGGTCTGTCGTCTGATAACGGGCTTCAAATTTGCACGTTTCACAATCAAGTGCGCCCGCCCGACCGCCGGTGCGGGTTCGAATCGGGTCTGATGCCTGGACCGCGTGTAATTTATTCTAGTAAAATTTTATTTATTTTACTTTATTAGAGTAGTAAAAATAACAAACAATACAAAATCTGTTCTTCCAATAGTATATTATTTTTATGTCCAGTCTCATCTTACTACCTAATAATAATATATTTTTTTTGCAATATGCAAGAATAAATAAAAAATCGTACAAAATTCCAGTAAAAGTAGTTCGTGCATCGATAGTAGTACCAATTAGATAATGCACGTAAACATAACTTGATGTTCCTTTGACAAAATGCAAAATAATTAAAAAAGAAACATTGTAAACCATATTAATAAATAGGATACGTCAAGCAGAAGAGTAAAAAGTTTTAACTACCAGATTGAAACCTCGGTTGCTGCAAAATTCCATCAATTGTTTAAATTTACTGGCAACTAAAATACACACATAAAAAAAACACAATCGAACGTTTTTAAATTCGCGTCGGAATGTGTGAGGCGCAGGCGATGCGGATGCGGCTCAATCACTGCCTGCGCGCAGAAAGTGCGGCGTGTGCTGCCCAAACTTGAAACTATTTATGTATTTAAGATAAAAGTGTGTGTGTTTAGTTAACATCTTTCAAGAGAGATTATATAAAAACGTAGCACTGAATGTTTATGACTGCTGTACTGCTTAGATAATATTGAAATGGGAGTTTCATTGGTGTCCGCAGGGTCATGTTAGACCAAAATCTACAATTACTATACAAACTTAGCTTAGCTTACAACAACATCATAGATTAGTTTCTTTACTAAATTATTAAGTTCTGTGTGTAAAAACTATTGTTACGTCGATAGCAGTCAAATAAATTAAAAAGGCAAATAAAAAGGAGTCAAGTATGAGTCACACTCGCACACAAAGTGTTCCATACCATCGCACAAAGTGCGGAACCTTTTCAACTTTATATTATAAATTGTTAAAGCAGCAATAGAAAAACACATTTTGTAATCATTTAAAAATACTTACCTACTTAATTATTGACAACCTTCATGGTGGAGTGGTAAGTACCAGTTGGTACCGGTGTATATTATACAGCCTGCTGACAATCAAACAGACAAACAGCGAAGGCTTAGCAAAGACTTTCCAATGTCATTGGTAAAAAGAAATAAAAAAACCAATATCTAAACAATATTCACTAAGCAGCTATACTGGTAGGTAGCTATTTTAACGAGGATCTGATAACAAGCTGTTAAGGTTAAATTGCAAAAACTCTTAAGCAGTGCAAATATTAATAAAAGTAGTAGACGAAAAAATATAACTTATAAAATTTTTGTGTTAAAATATTTTCCTAAGAAATAAAGCTAATAAAATAACAATTATTTTTAATTTCCTATAGCCCTGTCTCTGAAGCTGCTCCTTATACTAAAAAGGTAAAGTTCACTTATTTTATTTAGTATTTCTAAACTAATTTAAGTAATGGAATGTGACTTCATACTACACCGAAAATTGATGATTTGATTTAAATTAATAATAAATTTTGTGCTAGCAGTTGCAGTTAAACAAAAGTTAAATAAAATTTTATTAGCATTTATTATTTCATTAAAAATAATAAATAAATTATTAGGTCAAATTTTTATTTAATTGTTTATATTGAGAATTAACAAAGTTCATGAAAAACTAGTATTAGATACATAATACAGGGAGAAAAAACCGCCCTTGCTGTGTTACTTGCCGGTTCTTGTCAGTACAATAAATTAGGATTGGGAATCCCAGTACATTTGGGAACTGATGGCTTCCCTAACTTTACAAGTGCTGTAAAACCCTAGATAGAATAAATGAATTTTGTTGTATTTTTGTTTTGTGTTCAATTAAAAATGAATAAAAGTATGTGTAAGATAGAAGAAAAGACCAAATTGCAGCTTTTGATTTTATATGTATGTATAATTAGAAATTGAGGTAAGTTTTAAGCAGCAGTATAAGATGAAACTATTAACTCTACAGACTGAGTGCCAGCAGTTATTGTCTACAAGGTGAAGAGATGTATATGCCACTTGGAAATATCTTGTCTTTGGATTGGAATGCCCTCCTGTAGAAGTAATGTTCCCATCCATGTCTTATTTTCAAAACATTAGCCAGAGCCTATTTCTAATACTCCCAATTTATTTCCATACCAAAATTGGATTGATGAAGGTATGAAAGTATTGTTAGATTTAAATTATCTGATTAAATCTAGATTAAGTGCCTAACAACTTTGAATACCATCACCACACCACACATAATTGTCATTCTGTTACATATTTCAATAAAAAAAAAATATCACAAATATTTCTAATTCTTTAAATTAAAAACGATTGTCTAGGCAGTACTGCGTCTCACAGATATGTGACGGCTCTTATCTATGCTATACAAAGCAATGTCATTTTAACAGCAAGTTTTAAAAAATGAAGTTTGGGGACTCATAAATTTCGAGTAATATTTTTTTTTCACGCTAGTCGCATAATTTTGGCTTGGCGAATTCCATAGACTAGTGGTTCTTAACTTTTTAGAAAAAAAAACATTTATTTTCAAATGCTTGACACAATCATTTTAATTGAGTTTGATTCAATACAATATTTTACCTTTTGAAAATATAAATTCTAACAGTGCTCTGTCTATAAAAATGTATTTTACTGTTTTTCATTTAAGTCATAAGTTTATTTCATAAACATTTTATTCATATATAATGTTAGTTAATTAGTCTTTTTTATGGGTTAAAACTTTGTTTCCATTCATTTAAATTAAATAGTTTTATAAGTAAATACTTTGTCTATAATGTTTTGAACTATAGATTTACCATTAGAAAGAAAAATATAAGACATTTGGGATAATAGCAAGCGGTAGGTATAATGTATTATCATAGTATGATAATACTTACTATACTAGTATCATTTGATTATGCTTTACCAAATAGCTCAATTAATTGATATGGAAAGATTACGGAATGTAGGTAGTTTTATCATAAACGACGATCTATTTATTAAATTTGCAAGCTTGCAATTATTGAAACAAACCTGACGAGTTTCTACAGAAACCTGATTCGAAACACGGGTACGAGATGTAAATATAAATTCGAATCTACGGAACACTAACAAGATTATGCTAACTTGCGAATAATGAAAAAACAACATACCTCTGTATCGCTATCGCCACTTTTATTCTTGTCAATTTTAGTCTTCATCGCCTCCTGCGGACAATAGATTTCACTGAAACACTCACAGCACCAACTTGAGATTTCGGATCACTAATAAACGATGATTTTACACGTAAATTATGCAGAACGGCATACCATCAACGAACTGACATGGCATAGCACTTCTAACCTGAAGGAGGGAGCAATACTAATTCACCGATAGTACAAAAAATAAGAAATTTTACGGTGAATATTTCTTTTCCATTACTTCTGTTTCATTGTAGATTTATTTCCTGAGTTTCCCGACTCACCTTTTCTTTTTTCAGCATAACAAATTAGTAAATAAAGCTGAAAATATAACTTTTCTGTATTCACATGAAGTTAGTTGCATTTTATTTGACAGAAAACTTTTTTGTGATTGGCGGATATGGTAAAAGGTGGTCACGTGATCACATTGACGTTGACATTTCTATAGTGATGTGCCAACAGCCATAATTAATTGAAACATTCTATAATTATCGGCATGTACAATGGGAGCGATTCTGGCATTACATTCTCTAAGCCTAAACTTAAAATGTTTTGCCATTGCTCAACGAGCTTATGCGCATTGAGTCGGCAGACAACTCATTTTGCGTTGTCGTGTGGCACCAACTGCCTTTTTGTATGAAACCGAATGCAGCAGAATTTCTGCGACCGAAATTCTGCGACTCGCCACTCACAAAATTACGCTCGTTTGGCCTTACCCTAAGAGGTTGTAATTATCCCCTCGGCTGTTTTGTGAAGATTTTGTTCTCATTTATTGTATAATCCGAGATGCGTAACCTATTTTTATCTTTTTTTGTTTCTCCCAATTGTTCATTTGGTGCAGATGCCAAGTAATTTCGGATATATAATAACAAACTTCTCAATTACAATTCGTATTTGGTTACTTTGATTAGCTTTATAAAAAGTGGGAAATAAAAACAGTTCTAACAAATATTAAAAACTGCTTCATAAAAAACAAAACCACTAAAAACAAAGGATGGAACAAATAATACATTAAAGTCTAAAGTACCTACATTTAATGTCAAATAGGGGTGTCCACTCTGAAAAAACATCGATGTATTTTTTGATTCGATACATCGCAACTATACATCGATGTCAATCGATGTCAATCGATGTATCGGATGAAAACATCGATGTATTTCAAACATCAAGTACTTTTTCTTAAATTTAAAAATTTTTGCTGTCTGTCAATAGAATATTAGAAATATACTTCAATGTTAGTTTGTTTCACAAAACCAAAGGTTATTAAATGTTTATAAACATAGAAACTCGTAGTTATTTTTTATTGTCACTGCACTGACTCTTGCGCAGTGCTGCCAACATCGGAGCCATATTAGAGAATTCGGAATGCTTTCATAACAGTAAGTAAAATTTTAGTGGTCAAACTTAAGTTTTTTTTTACTGAGGTTAAACCAAAAAGAGGATATTATCACTACGTGGTCAAACTGTATTACCAATTCGATGTTTTTTTAAACATCGATGCATCGAGTATATTGAAAGCTTTTCAAAACATCGGATCGATTCGATGTTTTTCATTACAAACATCGATGTTGTCGATGCATCGATGTATATCGAATATCCTTAATGTCAAAATAACATTTGGATTGGAATATTTGATTGGAATGCATGTTACAGACTACTAGTTACTTTAAATATAAGCAGGTAATGATGTCGATTCTGGCATGATTCTCTAAAGCTAAACTTAAATTTGACAACAGTGTTTCCTAGTCATTCTCTATACAGAATGAAAAAGAGAGACTGATGTTAAATTTAATTTTAAGTTTAGAGAATCACGCCAGGATCGACACCATTTAGAACTCGTTTCAGAATACCATTTAATCATCTAAATGTAAGTTGAATAACTTAGCGACGTCAATTTTAAATTTAGAGATAATTGTGTCATTACTGAATACCAAATTGAATTTGACAACTCTATATCTAATTTTAGTTAGTTTTAGATATGGCACGCCAGAATTGGGCCCAATATCATCGATTATAATATATCCATTTTTATAATATTAACACAAACCCATGTTTTTATTATATGATGAGGACTGAGTATCGGGTTACGTATTATCTTATATATAAAATTCTCGTGTCACAATGTTAGTTACCATACTCCTCCGAAACGGCATGACCGATTTTAATAAAATTTTATATGCATATTCCGTGGGTCTGAGAATCGGCTACTATCTATTTTTCATATCCTTATGTCATAATAGTTGTCGACCTGTAACGTCAGACCCACCCAAAGTCTTGGTTGAGGAACTTACGAGAATGGACTGGGCAGAACTTTTCCATCTCACCAAACAAAAGGGAAGGTACCTATGCAGCCTACATTCGTCGTTCGGAGGAGCACTAGAAGGAGTTTCTCTTGAGAACTGTAAAAATATCGTGCATTGTCTGTGGTACACTTGGGATAGTCCGTATGACCTAATTTGCGGTTCCCTGGGACGGATAAAATTAAAGAAACTGCATTTGTTTCACTAGAAGTACTTTAATATGAATATTTACGCTAAATAAATGCCAAAGTAACAGTGTTATTTTATTTACTTACCTAGCTATAAGAAGATATTTAGTCGAATTCTCCGCTGTGCATGCATCATCAATTCATCATGGCATCATCAGCATCTTGTCGCAAAATTTTAGTTAAATATTCAGAGGTACAAAGATATAAGTAAAACAATTCCTTGTCAATATTAGGACAGAAACACTCAACATGAAAAAAAAATCCTAAAACCTAACAATGGGTCTTAATTAATAAAGGAGAAATAATTAATAAACAAAAATAATATCATTCTAAAATCAGTAAAGCATAGCAGTAATTATTAGGTAGTTTTTCTTAAATTTATTTCTTCTTTCCGCCCTTCTTCTTGGAGACCTTGTATGGTCCAAGTTGCCTGCGCACGAGCAATCCACGCCACCAAGCTTGCACTATGATGGCTGATGTCGTCATCTTTTCTCGGTACAGGCGCGCCTTCTCGCGTTCCTCCTTGAAGTGGATCCAGTCTTTCATAAGCTGGTCGTGCTTTGCAATCTGTGGAACAAAAGATTGCCGTTAAAATATCAGGAGGCTGTCTAACTCTCTCTTTCACTTTTAAGTTTACATAATTCGGCCACAGGTCGTTCATACCCGACTCGAAAGACCACGAAATGGGTTATCTCCGTCTGAAGTGGAGTATGGTGGGATTAGGCGGCTGTCCGCTTTTCCAAATATGCGGGTAAAATGTCTAAGTAGATAGATAGATTTATTAAAAAAACAATAAACTAGTAGGTATATATGTTGTTCGTTTCGCAATACAAAATCAAAAATCGCTATGTTTGAATCGCACTACGGCAACGGATACCCTACTTTGATATACTATATATATTTTCTGATATACTAAATTCATGATAAAATATGTTTCATTCTATTATCAGCTCGGTGAAGGTCGATGTAGGTTTGGATCTTCTACTATTAGAAAACCTTAATATATCAAACGTTTGCCAAGATACCTAGTTCTACTGGATCGGGGGGCACAGCAAGCCCCCGCAAAGTCGAGCGCGAAGCAAACACTGGAACCATTTCGCCGCATTTTCAGGTCCATATTTGAGAACCCCTGGCTAAGTCCAGAACGCAGAAATTTTCGTCATCCAGTAAGCTATAATAACATACTTAAAATCCAAAATTTCAAGTCTGTAGGTCATTTAGTTCCGAAGTTAAGCGAAAGCAAAGTTTCATTTATGATACTCACTCACTCATGATCATCAGAATCAAAAAATAAGAAAATCTAATAAAATAATCAATATGTCCACGTTTCTACAAAAAGAAGTGAAATCCCACCAAAAACATTCTGGTAAAAACTAGCCAAGTCCCGATGGAGCTGCTTGTTTATCTCTAAAAAGTAATGAAATCTAGACAGTCGTGCCACATGGTGTCATGTAGCACCTGGTTTTGTACCCTTGTGTACCCTTCAACGGCCAAGTCACACAACATTAAATATAATAATAAAGAAATCGCAGTAAGGAACCTTAGACTTGGCACGACTTTGTCTAGATTTCATTACTTTTTAGAAATAAACAAGCAGCTCTATCGAGACTTGGATAGTTTTTTACAGAATGTTTTTGGTGGAATTTAGTCATACTCGTACATAGTAAAATCACCAATGTAACGGCGGAATACTTACCGTTTTTTCAAGCCTTATCCTGTTTTCGTACATGTCGTGATATTCGTTTTTCTTGATCTGTATTTTAAGATCGATTTTCTCCATATCGGTGTCATATTTGTCCATCCAATTTTCAACATTTTGCATAGTTTCCTGTGTAAACAGTTAATATTCTAACTAACTAATATTTAAATGCGAAAGTGAGTTTGTTTCTTCGCGTCTAGACTCCACCGTCATTTAACATCAGGTGGGTGGAGGTTTGTCGGACCTATGTATAAAAAAATGACGTTTACAGCGTCATCGGGCTTGGGACGTCGAGGTCCTTTTAAGTATTTTCAAGGCTGGAATGACGAGTTGCTGGCATCTATGTATCTAGGCTTTTTTTTTGAGTGTGTATGCTGTTGGTCGCAGATGACTTTTACAGCGTCACCGGGTTTGGAGACGGCGAGATTCTAAGGGGACCTCAAGCCGTGAATTGGCGATTGCCTCTGGAGGTATCCAGGCGGAGGGCATCTCCCCACGGGGGGAGTCTCCTCTCTGTCTGGCGCCTCTAGACAACTCGAACCTGAAGCTAACTAGGCACAAGACCATCCGAGCCTAAGGAACGTCGTCGCAACTCATAACCGCGTCGGTCATGTTGCTCTTTGGCGTAACTAGAGGACGTTTCTAAGTCTCGCTCGGACCTCAGCTCTAGTAGGCCGTGGGTGGGCGTATGGGAGAGACAAACGTACAGTGCTTCGTATGCAGGCCAAGGATACATTATGATATGATACGCTAATGATTATGAAATAGGATAAACTTTGTGTTCCTGAAAAACACGTTACAAAATTACGTTACGTTTATAGCAACATTAGTAAGCATTTCAACTTCGGAATGGACTCTGTGCTCGTGGTCTGCTCTCTGTTTGTAATACTCGATGGTCTCCGAAGGTTTGATCTCCTGTTCCTTTATGATCTGTACGTGCTGTTCGGTGCGCGCGCGCTGCCAGTTTTCCACGTAGCGACTACGGCATTCGGAATACAATTGGGCGTCCTGCCAAAAGAACGAAAAGCTGATAAAAAAAAGCAATTTTTGTTTACTACAATTGGTACTTGTATTGATTACAAAGGTACCATTACAGATGATATTGCGTAAATAATGGGGGTTCATCGTTAGGTATTGTAATGGTACCTAATTTTTGTATTCTTTAGTATGTATATTAACTTTATATCTTTGCTGATAGCATGGACTTGCTTACTTATTGATCCAGTACGATATTACTTTGATGCATAGAGTCTGACATGGTAAGATAGAAGTCTATTTAAGGATATCAAATGTTTTACGTAATGTTACTTTGGAAACTTAACACTTTTTAACAATTTACCTCAACTTGTGTTTTAAGATCATCAATAGTCACGTCGGTGTCATAGATAACTGTTTTGATGTGATTTCGCTGTTGTCTTATTTGCTTGCATAATTCACGGCGTAATCTGTGATAAAATATGGACATGATTAATTTCATCAGGGTAAGTAGTAACAATTATAGAAGTCAAAAAGTGATGTGGAACTTACACTCTGTTCTTAGCCTCGTCCTCCTTTAAGAATTCTCGATGGTCGTCCAGGTTGAAGGTCTTGTTGACTCGCTCTAACAGTGTGGAGTATGTCTTGTCAATCGTCAAGTCTTGGTACGTCTCAACAAACGTATTGGTGACTAGCTTTCTGGAAATTAGTTTAATTGATTAGTGACTAAGCGTGTCTTCTATGTTGATCGATCGATCGATTATGTAGCTAACTGGTCTATGTGGATAGGTAGTAAATGCTTATCATCAGGCAGGTCAACTTCAGTAACTATTAGGTGATGCGATGTGGTATACTTTTACTAAATATTGCTTCCGGAAGTCATCTTTGCGATAGCCAATGCAAGATTGCATCAGCAAGTAATATTGTATTGTGTTACGATATAATATTTACTAAATATTGTTACATCATTATTTAATGCTGTGTAGATTTTTTCACGCGTTTTCCTCCACAGCTTAAAATGTCCTCAACTGTTAGTTGTATAATGCTTCCAATTTGAACAAAGAATTCTCGATTTTTGATTGCGAATTTAGCCCTCGAATAAGCTAGAAATCGATTAAGGGCACAACAAGAAATAAAAGTGTCCATCTGGGGAACAGCAAATTGAGTTCTACGAGGAGAGGATAAGAACGTAATAATAATGTCGAAGCAACCTCTCGATGGTTACGGTCTACGGTCTGACTTTCAGCATCTGCACTGAAGTAGAACAAGAGAGGCGGTCACTCTAGCTAGGTGTTGGGTGAGCAAAGAGCACCAATAAACGAAATGCAAAAATGATTTCCAAAAAAATAAACTTTATTTGATCAACGAGCGCTGAAAAAACAATCTTGCTCTACATTGATCAAGAGCGCTCTCAGCGCTTTAAATAAGAATTTCGTTAGATGAAATCCAATGTGAAGTGGAAGTGGTTTCGAAGCGAGTTATGACATCAAAGATTTTTTAATTACTAATACTGTGCACAAAAGATGGTTGTCAATTAGAGTGTTTGCTCTTATTGACAACTTAACCATCTTTTCATTTCGTATTGACCTTAATACAGTAAAGATATTTGTACCATGCCTTAATCATGTTGGTTTGCAAATTGGGGGTATTATAAAAAAGCACTACTGTCTTGGTGGGTTGATGTACATATTTATCACCTATCGGCGTCCAGTTTGTCGAGCTTGTAAGCCATACAGGTAAGCTTATGAGGGTCGATGCTCTCAAGCTCATCGGTGATCGGCAGCTGTTCCACGCCAAACTTTAGCGCCACGTGTAATGGCATGTCCGACCATGTCTTGTGAATGCGCAGCTCGTTATTACATTCGTCTGAAATTTCATGGTATAGTGTTACAAACACGTCAATGAAGTCTTAGAGTATATGTAGATAAGATTCGACTCCATCCGCTAAATGCTAAATCTTACCAAGAATCCTCAGCTGAGTAACGGTGTCTTCTATTATTGAAACAAACATTGACGAAATAAAGTACGGTAAACTGAAATCATATAAAGATACATAATTATATAAGGACACCAGCATCATACAATCATCTTTATGTATAAGTATGTATAGTACCTACATTTATTGATAATGATGGTGGATTGTCATTTATACGCTCTCATAAATATGTATATATAGCTGCATCTTATTCGGTCATGGTTGTTATTGTTATTCTATTAAGGTAATGTAATGGGAGAAACTTACAAACTATTCTGATTCTCTATTTTTGTAAGAAGTTACCTACTAAGTAAGGTTTCAGTTAACAGACAATTACAACAGACAGTGGCTGCATGGATCATTTGCTTCTCCAGTTAACAGTTTATTCAAAATGGCAATATATATAGATTATAGAGGGAACATTTCTGCTATGTAGGCAACTTCTTTACTTTGGCCACACCTCACCAAAAATGTATATCTCTAACTCGGTCGTGCTTCGGAAGGAACGCTATAAGTCGCGGCACGAAACTCTAGCGCTGATCGTTATTGCACAGAAGTAAAAATTAAGATGTCTCGGGGGAAAACGAGGTGCGCGGGTGGGCGTGCGTTGTGCCGATTGGCTCTCCAGTCGTACCCATGCGAAGCTATCCCCTCCGCATTTTGTTCAGCGCTAGAGTAACGTGCCGCGACCTGTAAGCTGTTGGTCCCAGAATGCGCTTGCAGTCGTTAGTACCCACGAATGCACACTGGTATCGTTCAGCGGGCCATCCATTGACCGATATCCAACAAAAGAGAGGGCCTGCGCCCCAGCAGTTTACATTTATAGGCTGATGATGATGATTGATGATGGATGGATGAAGACACACATGAATGTGTTGTGAGATTACTTGTAGCTGGCGTGCATACGCTATGTGTTAGGAGTTAAAGGTATTACTTACCAATTGTTATCTTGACACGTATTGGGCGGAAAATGTTCAGATCCTTGTGCGGACGTAGTTTTATCTATTCCGCTGTGAGCCGAAGTTGACTAAAAGTTTGATTAATATTTAACAATAAGAACACTTGGTGGTTACTATATGGCCAAATTTGCCTCGGTGTCGTTGATACCTTATTTGGTCTCAGTCAAACCATATGGTAAAATAAAAAAAATAAAAAAACTGAATAAATGATTTTGATTATTATGGCATGGGTTTTTAGTTTTTATCATATGTCGGATGGAATAAGAATATTATTTTAAGTCTACGGAGAGCACGAGTTTTCATCAGTCCTGCTTTTACCTGTGGTCTAACAAATACTCCACCTCATGTTAAGTAAATTTCAATTACAAAGTTAGCTGATACGGCATATGCAAGTAGAGGAACTTGCCATTCTGACGCCTTGTCTTTTTAATCCTCAGAAATCGAGTGACGCATTGCCAGCGTCTTGTTAAAGCAACGAAATAAAATGGGACTTATCCCCCCCCCCCCCCCCTTTCACCTATCCGCTCAAATAGTCCATAGGACGAGATGAATCCGGGATGGGAGTTAAAACTCTGGGATGTGCTTGTATTGCCATTGGTCACGTTCTATGACGAATGGTAATGTCACGATGTGAGTTGGAATGATAATGTCACCACAGTTACCTTGCCGTTTTTTATCTCTATTCCCCTAGGATGGAGTTACGGAAACTTAACTCATAAGGGGCATAAGACTTTGCCGAAAAGTGTCAATGAAGCTTCAAAAAATTTTTTTGCATTACGAGCATATCTTGTGTAACAATACCTTCTCCATAATGTTTGTTCCGAACGGTTTGCCTTTGCACCTATGCTTATTCAAAATAATCTAAATAAAAAGTACTTAAACAATGAAATGGTTAATTAAAAGATTTCTTAAAATTATCTAAAATGTCCTTTTACTAAAGAGAACTTTGGCATTCTGTAATTTACGTCAATGTCATTAGCATTTTTGAAAACTGTCACAGTTTATGCCGGCCCCACACTTATGCCTCAAAATTGGATACAGATATGTAGATAAATACAAAGAGCGCACGAGCAACGCCATTACATATATGCCGCTCACGGACATCATATCCCGGACCACTTACGCTTGGGACCAGTGTGCAAGCGCGAGTTCCATCCGCTTGAATCACGCGTCTGTGAGCTTTTTTGTGCAAAAATGAAGCAACAAAAAAGTTATTAAAGGTAACTGTTCAATGGTACATTTTAGGTATATGCTGCCTGCAAAATATGTGGATGGATAGCCATAGCCCTGTCATAGCCTGAGGCACTATTTAGGACGTGGAAAATAATTCCTGTATTTTTCAATTAAAAATATACCGATATTATTTATTAAAAATTCCTATATTTTAATTGATTTATTTTAGGCGTAGTGATTCTAGCTCACCTCGCAAAACAGGAATACTTGGTGTAGGGGATGTCTAGGAGCAGATCCATGATCCTCCTTATTTTTGAAGAGGCAATGGGACGAGCCACTATGTTTGCGTCTTTAGAGTGATCTTTTAGTTTCCTCTGAAAACGCAGCTAAGTGTGCTCGCTTCCTAGCTGTCTTTCAGGGAAAGGCTGGCTACTGGCTGCAACTCTTCCTTCAGCCAATATCGGGACTTTGCTTGACAGGAGCACTCTGTCTCTTGCCATTTGGCTGTCATTGCGGAACTCGCGTCGGTGAGTTGGAAGACCATGGTCTCTCATACCAAATGAGCGCTGGTCGAGTTTCCCGCCACGTCTGCATGATACTTGATTAACTGAAATGATAATGTAAAATGCAACAGAACAGTTGGTCTTTCAGAGACTGAAATTTATTTTTTAGTAAACAATATTTGGCTATTCATCGGTTAACTCAACTAGTTATATAAATTACTTTTTTCAGTGTGGTGATCAAAAAGCTGGCAGCTACCTTGGTCAACGGATTAGTCTTGCTAACCAACGTGGAAGTGCTGCCATTGGGCACCATTCGTGACGGCGGCGCTGGGGTGATATTTTTTATTGTGTAAATTTTATTTATTTAAGCAGTTCATTGTAATTTTAAGTTTGTAGACATTAAATAGTTTTAAGCGTTTGTAATTTAAATATTTATATGTAAATATAATAATTAAACAGTATTTTATCATTTAATCAAGAATAGTATGATTTTAAACCAAAGGTTTTATACACGCTTCTGAAGTTAGGACGAAGAGTTGAAAAGGAAAATCTTTTTTCTTTAACTCTATTTATTAAAAGCTCTTCTCTCAAAGTACATTAAATACAAAAATGTATCTAAAATAATTTACAATAATCATCAATCATCTAAGAAATACAAACTATAAAATATAATAATAAATAGTAACTATTACAAGCGGAAACAGAGTTTTCACTTTGATGCCCCCTGAGGGGTCGTTTATTATATTGAACGGCAGACATTATTAAGATTGCTTTATTTAGGATAAATCCTATTTGTTTGCACAGTAAAACTATGTAGGCACTGCTGCATGCAGACACATCAGATCGAGTTTTTCAACGGTGCACTTTTAGTTATTCAAACCAGTTCATAAAACTTTCATTTCATTCATTCATAAAACAAAGTACCTTTACTATACCCTTATTACTTTAGTTTCCCCGTGCAAATATCTATCTAATTAAGTATAATACTTAAATTTAATCATGTTCATGTGATCGCGTATGGGAAACTCCTAAAATAATCTACTTTGAGTAGTTTAATTTCACAAGGATTAGCTTTATGGTGTCTGTTTCACATCCTTCTGCGGTATGTTGCCTTAGTACCTAGAATCATTTCTTAGTCTTAGAGTCTTTCTTCTTGCCCTTGTCACCGGCAACGGCCCACCTCCTCTTGGGCTGTGGTTTGTACGGTCCCAGTTGGTTCCTGACCAGCAGACCCCTCCACCAGGCCTGGACAGCGATGGCTGCATTGGTCATCTTCTCGCGGTACAGGCGTGCCTCTTCACGCGCTTCTTTGAAGTTGACCCAATCCTTTATGAGTACCGCATGTTTAGCGACCTGTGGGAGGAAATTTTAATCCTTTAAAAGTTGTAGGGCACAGTATACTTTCTGCTAATATTGGAGCGCCCGTCTGGGGCGGTAACCTCCAGAAGACCACAGTAAAATAACACTACCTCTTGGTGTTTTGAATTTCTGTCGGTGAGTAAGGTTTTAGGGCTCCAGGGAGTAGGTGATTGGGTCAGGGTAGGCAACGAGGCGGGTCGTTACGTTCCCTAAAATATGGTTGAGCGAAGCGATGGTCATGCGTCATGCTCGTGAACGGGTGCTGCCAGCGGAGATGAGTCTGTCCTAACTATTTTGATATTTAAGATGTAAATGTTTAATTGCACCCATTATTAATAACTCTATTTGTATTTATACTGTGTGACACAGCAATCTGCAGGTGAATAATTAATGTATAATTTCTTTATGTAATGAAAAGTGACGTCATGAATCATCTCTGAAGTCATTTTTCAACTTGACGACTCTGTAAACGATAAAACAGGGAGAAAAAAACAGCCCTTGCTGAGTTTCTTGCCGGTTCTTCTCAGTACAAGGACTCCCGCCGTAGATTTACGAACCGATGGCGTAGCTTCTAGACATTCATATGTGCTTGTAACAGCCTAATCTGAATAAATGATTTTAATTATGATTATTATGATTAACGCGGTGCGAGTAATAGTTTTGGTATATGCGTCGCAAGCGTTTAACGCTTGCAACGTCAACGCCTGGTGGGCTGGTGGTCTACCATCAGGCAGGCCATGAGTATGCTTATTTGCCATCCTTTTAACGTACAAAATATTATAAAAATAAAATAACGCTGCAACGGTTTAAATGCGTTACATTATTCGTTTCTTGACGTTTCACATCCTTTTCAGGCTGTGTCGTCAGAATTATGAAAAGTCTTTCGAAGGTAGCCCGAGAAAGTAAATAAAAATCATAATTCCGACGACCGACGCAGCCTGAAAAGGATGCGAAACGTCAAGAAACGAATAAATTAACGCATTTAAACCTTTGAAGCTTTGTTTTCTTTAATGAGTGGTGTGCGTGAGAATCTAAGAAATAAAGTACAAAATAATGATTCAAAATACTACATGTATTACGCGCAGTAGTATTTAACTACTTCTTATCTAGCAAGTTGTATGGCGACGATATTTTATGCCAAGATTTTAGATAAATATTAACAATGTATTCATTGTTGAAGAGTTCCTAAAAGATAGTAATCATAAAATTGTAGAGAAACTAATGTCAAATAAAAGGTCACCGTCTCTTCCAAGTTCTCTCTTTTTTCCACGATCGCGATGTATTTATTCTTCATGATCTGAATCTTGAGGTCCGTTGCTTCCATATCTTCGTCGTATTTATTCATCCATGAATCCACTTTCGCAAGAGTTTCCTGCAAAATTGAAGCTAAGATTAACCGCATTCTTAACATTGTATATTTTTCGTTAAATAAGTAAGTTATTGTTAGGTCAGCAATTTAGAATGAAATCCTCATTTCATAAGGTAGTACGATATTAAAACGAGATTGGATATATAAATTTAATTTTTATCACCCATTGACTTTATTTATGGCTGCAAAGGTTCTAACGCAGTTTCAAGCAGAAATTAATCGTGACAAGATTAGTTGATTATTGTCGAGGATAGCGGTAGTCGATCCTCTGGCTACTTTCTATTTCGTGATTTTGTACTGAATCCATATCACATTTTGAACGCAAAGTAATTCCATAGAGACATCACTATTGCGCACAGTATAGCGGCATCCCGCTGCAACTGTTTTTTGGCCTCGTATGATGAGTTGTTAATACGGCCTCAGTTTCAAATTAAAAAAGGTTATTTTTCTTCTGAAGCATGACTTACTTAAATATCACCCTGTTTTGCGAAAAAGAAGCGATAACCACTTACATTGATGGCAATGGCGATGAGCAGTTCAATTTCAGCATGCACCCTTTGCTCGTGGTCGCTCCTCTGTTTGTAGTACTCTATTTGAGTCAAAGGTTTGATCTCTTTCAGCCTGATTGTTTCGTCGTTCTGCTCGGTGCGCGCGCGCTGCCAGCTGTTCGCGTACCGGCTGCGTATTTCAGCGTTTAACGCAGAATCCTATAATTACCAAACTCTCTTATACCGACTTAAAGCAGTGTTTTGTTTTTATTACTCAAATAAAATTTTGTAATTTGGTTAAGAGAGACAAAACACTGTGTTACTGGATAGTACAACCTTACCTCCTTTATATTAAGAGAGCAAGATTCTATGGGAGTAATGAGGATGATCAAGTAAGTAGATTCAGTGCGGTATTAAGATAGAGTAATGAATTCACTCAAAAAGAAAATGAGAAAAAAACATGGCGATTTTTGCACCTGTTAGGAATAATCGTTTACTATCAGTAGGTAGGCGCATATATTTTGATAAGGCGATGAGAATTTCAGGTTCACATCAAAGCTTCTCCAAGCAAGTTCAAAACCACAAATTCAGCGTACGATGTCGAGACTGACTGGGACAAGAAAGCGCACTATTTAGAATATTCAAGCTGTCATTTTATTACACAAAACTATTCTGAGTTCCGTGTTATTTTTTATACAAATAGGCACTAACTTCAACGTTTGTTTTCAATCCTTCAATGATGACGTTGGTGTCGTAGTAGACAGACTTCACGTGGTTTCTAAACTGCCTCAACTGTTTGACGAGCTCTCTTCGGTTCCTGAGTATTTTCAATTTTATAAAACATTTACTTTCACGCGTTACTCTCACTCTTTTTTACGAAGCTGCAATCTTACGCAAGTGCCTCAATATGGGCAAGCTATGAGCACCCTTAGACATGGCAATATTTAAAATTTGGCTTTTCCCCACATGAATTTTCATGATTATCTATCTGCAGTTTACAATTAGGTATAATGTTTTTTGGTAGTATTTTCTATAGGATGAAAGAAACAAGGAGTTAAATAAAAAGTTTTTCACGGGTTAATGCACGAAACTTTATTTTATTTATTGATATGATTATTGTCTTTCGAAGATAGCTCCACAAAATTAAATAAAAAATTGATTCCGACGAGAAGCAGACTGTAAAGGCTGCCAAACGTCAATAAATAAATAAAGTTTCGTGCATTAACCCGTGAAAAACTAGTTTTATTTAATGAGAGATGTGCGTGAAAATATAAGAAACAAATAAACAAGGAGTTCATGAAACTATGAGTAAAGTGACGTGCGCTATCAAGTTTTTCGTCTCATCCTCAATCTAACAGTTTTTTAATCATACTAATAAGCTAAATACTAAGGCAACGGGTAGAAATATATTTGTATAGAAATATAACTAAACAGCCAGATATAGGAACAAATGCTCGTATTCATCATACAAACATTTGCCCAAGCGGGATTAGAACTCAGGATATCTGAGTAGGCGACACCTTAAATCTCGGGTATCAATTAAATGAAAAGAATAATATAAGACTTACAGTTTGTTCTTTGCTTCCTCCTCTATAAGCATGGCACAGTACTTAAAATGGTCCGTCATATCTTGCACTTGAATAGCAAGGGACTTGAAACTCTTGCGCAAGGCCATGTCAAGGTACATTGACACCAAGAAGTTGTGAAGAAATTTCCTGTAAATATACTTATTTACATATACAAAAATCTCTTAAAAGGACAAAACGGGATATAATTTTTTTTTTATTTATTTAAATATGTACCTATTGCGATAGTCTAAGAACAAAACGGGGTGCAAACGATCATTTTTTTTTGTTAAATATATGTAGGTACCTATTGCGATAGGCTTTGTAATTTACTGCATAACTCAGATTAAACTATTTTAATTGATCTGAGCAAAACTGCAAGTGATTTGCGACCGGCATCTACGAAATTGCGTGATGAAAAAAACAGAAAGATACTATTGTAAAAGAAAACGATACCACTATTCTGAGCCCCGATAAAAATTGTGATTTTAAAGTGATTTCATAAAAAGAATCTAAGCAGAAGCTCAGTCGCGTGTTGGGGATAAAACCTGACAGGATAAGTATCGGGTGGACAGTTGTTCACTCTGTGTGTAAACCTCTTTTAAAAATAGCTGCTTAAAGTTTTATACCTGTCAGCGTCCAGTTTATTGATTTTGTGATCGTTGCATCCCAGGTTTTTAGCATTAATGCCCGCGAGCTCATCCTTTACCGCCGGTTGCTCGACGTCGTACTTCAGCGCTCTGAGCAGACTGTAGTCGACGTAGATCTTCAAAAGACTCTGACTTACATTGCCCTCCACTGGTGTCACAGGGAGATAATAATGAACAGCCAAAATCATTACCTACTAGTTAAGGCTCTAATATAATTTGTGTTTAACAAAGTATATAGAATGTACATTCGTGATAATCAAAGATCTACCCTATTATGATGGTGGTATTTATAGCTCGCTGGCAGATTGACGGACATACAATGGAGAATTGGTAATAGCGCTCCTCCTGTCATGTCACTCTTGGGTATATATTACTTTTAATATCTGGGAAAGACATGACCCCCGCCTACCAGGAGAAGGATGACTAGGGTGTCTGAAAATTCTCCCCGCTCGTGCGTTCAGCTCATTTCATGAGGCCAGTGATATAGGCGATGCCCTATCTACTTGAGACCAGACAATTCTCCTGCATAAAACAGACTATATGCATGCTGAGTATTGAGGTTTCCTCAGAGCGTGCTGGAAGTGCAGATGCGGTAAAGGCACCCCGTAAAAACCAGTATCCTTAGTACGAGTTTTACAATTACGAAAACTATGTATACGTTTTATATGTTATATATATACGTTTTCGTGAGCTCGCACTCTTACTAAGGGATACTGATTTTATTGTTATCGTTTCAATATAAATGAACAGTGTTTAAATTCTATCATTAAATCATTTGCGTTTTCTTAAATTTTAAGTTTATTTGGTTACTCTTCACCAAAATGGACATAGAAACATAATTTACATTTACGAAAACTATGATAGTTTTTGTGAGCTCAAACTCGTACTAAGGGCTTAGATTAAACAAAAAGGGTAGATACGGCACTAGCCTCACAAAAGTGATCCGCATAAATTGTGGCCCAAGACCACAATCGCTTTAGTCACAACTTGACATGCAAACGACGTACATGTGAACGCCAAAAAGAAATATTGCTAATATTTTGTGTTTATATGCCTAAGTGTGTTTTTAAAAAGTGCTCAAATTGCTCAAGAACTAAAAATAAACTCACGGCATCACTTTTCATTCGTAAGTACTATAAAATAAATTTTTCATCCCACCACCTCGGAAAGTGTAATTTTGCGCTTCGAAATCTGGCTGGAAAATTCTATTTTATTCGCTTGAGCGGCAAAGTAGATTTGAATTTAGAACATCACATATAATGAGTACTCAATATAATTGTAAATTCAAAACGTCATTAAACCTATTTAATGTAACCTCTATGGTGCCAAATTTATGATTAGAACTTTTTAAATTGTGAAAAAATTTAAATTTGGAACCTTCTTGGTTTCTTTGTTTTATTTGCGTGCTTCGCGCCATTCTAGTTTTTCACGTTTTATTGCTTAAATATTTTGTCATTATAAATTGTTTTCTTTTTCATTTTGTCATTTCCTCGCTGAGGTGGGATGAAAAGTTACGTATTGCACTCGAGTGGAAAGATTTTTCACCTTGTGCTCGTTTGTTTCCCTCGCTGACGCTCAGGATTCTAATTTAGAATCACTCGCTGCGCTCGTGATTCAACTTTAGAATCCTTCGCTTGCTCGGTCATCCAAATCGAGCACGCGGTTAAAAAGGAACTTTCCACTCTTGTATAATAAATAACTATTAATACATACATAAAAATTGCTATTTGTTTTGAATCTTATTCAGTAGTGACGTCGAGTACTGGTCGCGTGATTGGTCGGTAATGCAATGACGCGGATCTCGCCGTCGTCCCGTCCGCGCTGCCGTGGGATCAGTTTTTGTTTGATGCAAGTATGAGCGTACCGTATCTACCCTTTTTGTTTTAATCTAAGACTAAGGGTGGTGGCGGCTAAAAAGTGTGTATTTTTGGCAGTCCTATAAAATATAGACCAAAAATAAACTGTATTAAATAAAATTTGTGTGTCTACAAAAATCCGGTTCTTAAGTAACTGTTCCCTTACCCAGCAAACGCATCTGTGTTATGATGTCTTCCAAAATTGTAGCGAAAAGGGAGGAGATAAAAAAAGGCAAACTGAAAAGAAAAGCGATTATAAGTTGATGACAAATTACTAATTTTACAAAAGAACACTTCTCTTATATAAAAATCAACACTTCTGTAGTAATAATTTCCCAGGGGGCGCTCAAGTTCGTGCTCATTGTCCGCTCTGAATAATAAGTACTTACTTACTTAAAAATAATATTTTACAAAAATAAGTTTGCGGCCAAGATGAATCGAAGATTTTTAACTGTATAACTACACAGTGTTTTGTCTGTTCATGGATTTACAAATCTCATTATCATTGTCTGGCACAGTTGTTGACATCACATACCTGTATCCGCCATCTTCTGCATCGCATGATGCTTTCTGTAAAAAGACAATAAGGGTATGGGCTAGTAGAACCCATGAACCAAGTATCGATATAAATCCCTGGTCCAGTGCAGATTTAGTTCAAAATTGGGAGATGATTCGAGCTTCCTGTTGTTTCTACAGGTAGTCAGGTGCTTCTTTTCATAAACTAGGGGCTGGCACAAGACAAGGGCAGGACAAGATTAAGTTTCTACTGATAGTAGTTTTATTTAATATGATATGATATGTAGACTTCACCTCCGCCACGCTACCAGACGCAAAACGATTAATACTTGACGAAGAACGCCGTGCAATAGCCATCGATGTAATATCCATTCTATATAAAAAATAAATTTATATAAAAATTACAAAAATATCAAACTTTATTTACAAAACAAATGTCTCCGAAATGACATTGAAATAATGTCATAAGGCAATTTTTTATTATGCCCCAAAGAGTATTTGAAAGCCTTATTTCCATGGCAGCGAATACAATTGGACCTTATTTATATGCAGTTAAGGTATGAACCAACGGAAACAAACGTTATTGATTGATGATTAAATAAAACACTTTTCAATTGCAATAATGTGCGTTTTTAACCGACTTCAAAAAACGAGAAGGTTCTGTGTTTGACTGTATCTATTTTAAGTTCCATTTTCAATTATGAAGTCGGTTTTATTTTTTGTTTAAAAAAATATTAATACACTTCTGGACACATCTATTGGCCCACCTTGTATTTTCAGTTTCGTTTGGTCCTAGCTAAAATTTTATATTAGGTCGAGCAAAAAGTTTTTATGCAGTTTTGAACCTGGCACATTCACAATTTCATTCAATAGTCTTTTTTTGAATTTCGAACACAGAATTTAAAGAAACAAAAGACAATTTGGAGCCTGTTTGTTGATATCAAACAATCGAATACTAAGAAAACTTGGTTTTATTGGTTTACTTGGATTTAATTCTTGAAAAAATGATTGATATCTTTGGTTTTGCAACAAACATTACATTAATCTATGGATACTTCACCTGAAGTCGCCGCCCAAGCTGTGGCACTTATTCAGGCCGGACACAGCCAAAGAAACGTGAGTGCTCAACTTAATTTAAGTCGATCTGCGGTCCGAAATGTTTATCGGAGGTACCTAGAGACTGGCGGCTTCGTTCGTCGCCAAGGAAGGCCACGATTTCGGGTCAACTGAAAGGCAGGATCGATTCATCGTGACGACCAGCTTGAGAAATCGTCACCTTACCTCCATTGAGATACAAAAACAAATTCGCGACTTCTACGGAGTATCTGTGAGCGCTCGAACTGTTCGGAGAAGGTTAAAAGAACGCGATATGGTACCACACAAGCCAGCTAATGGGCCCAAACTAACGCGAGCCCACCGAACAGCGCGCCTTCATTTCGCACGCAATCATTTAAATTGGACACAGCAAGATTGGAGCCGTGTACTCTTTTCTGATGAGTCTAAAATTGTATTACATGGCAATGATGGAAGGAAGAAGGTCTACCAACGTAAGGGAGAGCGTTTCGCACAATGCTGCTTTGAAGAGAGGGTTGCTTATGGCGGTGGCTCATGGACTGTCTGGGGCGGTATATCCGTGAGCGGCAAAACTCAACTTGAGGTTGTTACAGGACCACGGCTGCCAACATTAAATGCTGAAAGGTACATTCGTGAGTACTTAGAACCTCACGTGATACCATACGCGGACTATGTGGGCCCAAATTTCCTTTTTATGCATGATAATGCAAGAGACCATGCGGCCGGCATCGTCAGGGAATATCTTCGGGATGTGAACATCACAGTTATGGACTGGCTAGCCAGAAGCCCAGACATGAACCCCATTGAGCACATGTGGGACGAGCTAAAAAGACGTGTTAGGGCTCGTCAGCCAGTTGCCCAGACGATGCAGGAGTTGAAATCTGCCAGAGAAGAGGAATGGGAGATGATCCCTCAAAATTTCATAGAGCGGTTGATAAACTCTATGCCTAATCGTATGAGAGCTGTGGTAGATGCCCATCGATGCAACACGCGTTATTAAATTAAACCTGTATTTGATAAAACATGTTTTTTATTCAAAAATCAATTGCCTTTAACAAGGCGCATATCCGACTTGTTAGGCGTAGCTCCATGTCGTATGGTATTCTGAATTCAAATTTAAAACAATACGATCGAAAAAGATGGTAAAATGTATCAGGTTTAAAACTGCATCAACAGTTTTTGTTCAATCTAGCAATCATATTTCGGTAGGGGCCATCGAAACCTAAACTCTAAGGTGGGCCAATAGATGTGTCCAGAAGTGTACTTCCTATTAAATCTACGTTTTGGGTGCAATACAGGCTCCGTTATTAAGAGCCTGTTAAAGGACCCGAAAAGTAGAGGATATACAAGTATAAAAAACGCATTTAATTTTAAACTCTGTGAATAGTAGATTGTTAACCGAGGGTGGAAAGAATCAATTCCCGAGGTATTTAGACGCCCGAGCGCAGCGAGGGCGGCTATAGTCCGAGTAGGAATTGATTCTTTTACCCGAGTTAAACACTGTACTTTTCATTTCGAATATGAGGAAAATAAAACTAGTTGTTTAACAAAAATATTTATTCATAAATAGTTATATATATACCATAAAATTAGAAGTAGCTATTTAAAATTAATTATCATATTAGGACAATTACTGAAATTAAAAGTAACATTCTTGTTTGAAACTATGCTGTTTGATATAATATTACAAATTTGGCTGTTTTGGATATCTGTAAAAGTAGGACACTCTGTTATTTCATCAAACGATGGATTCCATGGCGGATACTCCCTGGAAGTTGTCTGCTGAGGCGAATTGTAGGAGCCTGTAGTTTGCTAGACAGTCCATTAAAATATGTAAGAAATACACTTTCGGAAAACGATTTTATATTCTTCTCTGCTCACCACTTTATAAAATCATTGTATGTATTTATATATCTCTTTTTTAACATTTCTGGCAAAATATTCTCTATAACACAATTTGCCTCGTCTTTAATTGAATCCGGTGTCAACATTTCTGAATCGCTTGAACTCATTTTTAATATTCAAAGATGGATTGCTCTGTTTTACTTAAAAGATTATTATTACTATTTTTTTATTCCATCACATAACAGATGCATAACAGTTTAGTATCCCGCCAATTTATGTCGACTTTTTAAATTTAAATATGGAACAGCGTAATTGTTGCGGCTCATTCCGCTCAAAGAAGTTTGTGCTAAGTTCACACTGGCTGTTTAGAAACTCACATGGCGGCAGCATTTTTTTTTACAAAAAACTTCACGCCTGACAGTAGTTCTATTTTTAAAGTTCATTCCGGCCCTTAGGCGGGAAGTAATTTGTATGAGTTTTTCCCTCTCTAGAGAGGGAAGCAGCATTTTCCACCCAACAAACAGATCAAAACAACACCACTTTCCGAGAATGAGAAATGAAAAAGTATTTTATCTAATGAGCGGTGTGCGTGAAAACATAAGAAACAAATATGTTATTGATGAATTGATGTTTAATTACCATTGATTTATAGCATTGACCTACTATTTGTTTTTACAGAAGGTCATTTGTTTGTAGACCTTAAACTTAGTTTAGGATTTGCGATTTCGTACATTGTGACCTTAGCTCAATTTACTTACAAAGTTAATTTTGATTTAATTTAAAATTTTAACATGTTCAGTTTTTAATACGAGATATTAAAGCATCAGCAGCATTTACCTTGAACCAAGTTAGCTAAATCCTAGGATTTAGCTCGAAAATTTCAAAACTGTAAATTAGGTGTGTCTGTGGATCTAGATCCACGACAATTTATAGTCCTATTTTGTTTTTTTTTCTAAAGGGTCTATGTGAAATTTTGAATCCGTGTGTCATATGCACGATGCTCTTAAGGTCAATTCATACTAGCGCAGAATCCAAGCGTTTTTTTTTTCATAATTTATAAATAAATATTTCCAACACTCACACCAATTAGCCTAGGCCCAAAGTAAGCACTGTAGGCTTGTGTTATGGGATACAAGGGTAACCGATAAAATACATATGTATACTCTACATAAGTATATTTATATAGAAATACATATTAAACATCCATGACTGGAGTACAAACGCTCGTATTTATCACACAAACATCTGCCCTCACCGGGATTCGAACCCGGGACCTCTCAAGACGACACCATGAGACCCGGCGTACAAACCACTCGGCCACGGAGGTCTTCACTTATTTAATAAGAACAATTTATGAAAGTAAATTGCACGATTGGCGTGAATACGCTTATAGAGCGTGCGCACCGTTAAAAGGGGCGCGGAGCCGGCCTCCCCGTCGAGAAGATTAGAGGCCGGTGCCTCTGAACAGTAAATAATGGACACGTGGATTATTTTTGTTGATAATTCTACATAGTTAAAAGAAAACGCAGCCGAGAGCACAGAAGATAGCCAATCGAGAGTGCACCGCCGCCTGCGCCACGGGAGGCGGGTTTGTGAAACAAACACGCCGAGCGGACGCCCGCTTCGTGCCGCGCTTAACGGTGCGCCCACCCTTAGGCGCTTTGCAGACGGCGGGGCGGAGCGGGCCGGTCAATTTCGCCGCGAACGATAGCAGAAAGTGAATCCTATACTACAAACGCACACAGAGGGCAAAAAGACCGCGCCGCAGGTGCCCGCCGTGGATCATACAAACCAGTTTATATGCAGTAACGCTGACGGCGGCGTGGGGCGGCTAGCTCAGTCCGCGCCACGCGCTTTTTAGTAATGGACTATTTCACTAGAACGAACGTCCTGAATTGACTGCCTCTGCCCGTCGTGTGCTTTGTGTACGCGACGAGGGCAGTCGCAGACATCGACGGGCAGACGCGGTTTTTATTGCTTCGCGGACAAAAAGCCCGCCCCGCCCCGTCGTCTGCAAAGCGCCTTATAGGACATCAGTTGCCAGTTCGTTTCGTCTCTCGTAGTCAAAACTCGTATATATAAAATAAAGACGTCGCTAAGTGAAGGCAGCTGGTCAGTTTATAGCGTCTTCTTTTTATCTCATAAGAAATATGTGCATTACGGATGTGCATCTTACGGAGATAAGTGTGAATTTGCTTTGTTACGTTTCTGATGGACATTTAGATGCACTTCGACTCTGCGCCACTCAGTAAAGCCCTACATAACGCGGTTAAAAATGCAATGCAGACTTCAAAACCACAAATTTTAAATAAAACACATTGTTTTTGTAGAATTTTTAATAGCAACTTTGTTCTCAAAACATTGAAAACCAATTAACGGAGTCAAACATTTTTGTAGAACAAACTACTTATAGTTTTGGCATTCTGGGATATGATTTAAACAGGTTGAAATGTAAATTACCATTTGTAAGCTGCAAACTTTGTTAAAATGTTTATTTTTATTTAAATAAGTCACACAATGGTGTCGATTCTGACATGATTCTCTAAAACTAAACTTAAATTTGACAACAGTGTATCCTTGTCATTCTCTATACAGAATGAAAAGGAGAGACTGATGTTAAATTTAGTTTTATGTATAAACCATACCCCAAACATTGTAATCACACAAAATATAAAATAGACAACTCTAAATTCACTAAATCATATTATTTATACATAGGAAATCGTTCAATTTATCATATATCAAGTTTTGATTATGTCAATAATCCAAACTCATATTTTGTATAAAATTCAATACTAAGTATATAACATATCTTTTTACACACCCTAACTATCATTAAAATAATATAATTTAAATATGTATATGCGAGTTAACAACCACAAATTAATGATACTACGATATTTACACTTACTATGAAAGATGTGAGGTAATTTATTTTTATACCGTATTCTACATGATATTAACGTAGATGACGATAAAATACTTCATTATTAGTCTATGTAAAGTTATAATGTTTCATTTTATGTGTTATTGACGTGACAACGTCTTAAATTAGGTTGCGGCTGGGAGTCACTTATGAAAAAGTGTAACGCTCGGTAACGTTACGATGAGTCTCTCGTGTTAAGTTTAAGTTTACATGTACAATGTTTTAGTAAACAAAATATATTTCTATAGTTAAAATTTGTGCAATTCTTATTTTCATTCAATTCCTTGTTCCTATTGTGCAATTTAATTATATTCATATCAATAAATATTCTACCGAGAAAAAGACGTTGTCACGTAAAATCTTCGCCCGTAAAACCGACTTTACAGGCAACCATTTTTTTATTTTAAGATCCTAAGGTAGTGGCACCAATGTCGGACAAGAAACAAAGACCGACATTCTCTTTCGTGATCAATGAAAATCACTAAACAAATGTAATACCGAGCGTCTTTAGCTCGATGTTATCACACTCAGCGACGAGCCACCCACTAATATTTTTCATTGATCACAGAAAAAAATCATTTTATTTATGCATCAACATCATTTATGTACATTATGGTAAAGCAATAAAGTTGATTGATTGATTAAAAATGTCGATGGCTGGTTCCCTCCCGTCGTCGGTCATTGACGCCGCTACCTTACATAATCTATAAAATATATATTATACTAGCTGTCCCAACGAACTTCGTACCACCATAACATTAGGGGCTGGTGGGAAGAAGGGTTAAAATTTTGGGTTGTATGTATTTTTTAAAGCCACATTATAAAAAAATCGGTGGACAATCCTAATCATTTAGGGGTAGGATGAAAAAAAGATAGAAGCTGATTCTCACACCTAATGAATATAATATAAAATTTCATAACAATCGATCAAGCCGTTTCGGAGGAGTACGATAACTAACATTGTGACACGAGAATTTTATATATATGATTTTATAAATGGACACAGACGACATACCAAAAATAATTTGTCGTGTGATTAGGTTTAATTTACTTTATATATGAAGTAGATTTATGCTACAATTTTAGACTTCTAATAAAATTATGTAAATACTAAGCAGCCGTCATTTGAGCACAGAACAATTTACATAGATCAACATTATGAAGTATTTTATTTATAATTATTTTAAAATGTCAATAAATATTATTTTATTGTAACCACATTGAATCTCATGTAGTGTCACTCAGTCTCAAGCAATTTCACTGTGCACTGATGTTTAAATATTAAGTAGCGAATAAGAATACAAGAAACAGCATCTGATTACGGTTATACCAAAATGTAGAATAACCACATTCGATTTTAAGCTATAGTGTTTTAGATATAAAGATTGTAATCGATTGAAGTGTCAAAGATACAACATTTTGTGTTAACCTTAATGTGCTATCGTTTTATAATAAAGAAAAACACGCAAAAGTGAAGATACATGTGAGTATAAATATTTAATATGTATTAAAATAAAAACGATAGAAATTATATATAAATTATCGTAGTGTATGAACTACATTAGAGTAATGGATATTAAAAATTTGCAAACAGTAATTAATAACAATTTATAATGTGATTGAAAAACGGTAAAAAACGGTTAAAAATACATACATATTACAAGAAAAATGTATTAAAATTGAAATATTATATGGTGTTTATAAATAATTCGAGGTTATGGGAAACAAATGAATGAAAATAATCCATTTAACAGATAAAATATTTGCGGTTACGTTTTACCTCAATAATATTTTTTAAGGCACTAGTGCGGTACAATAAGGGTCAATTCTACAAAGCTATTTAAATTGTATGGTCAGTTATGATTACGTAATTGTAATTACGCAATTAAAGGTCTATAACACATTAATATGGGACTGTAACATTATCGTACATTTATTTTTATGTCCAAAGATACCAAGCGCATCAATATAATAGGAACGTTAACGAAAAGTCGCGAAGTCTCTACATTTAATCAAAATCAATTGAACGTACAAATTATCGAGCCATAATTTTAACGCAAACATATCCGGATGTAATAAATCATTTAGAACCGTCCCTAACAGTAGTTTAAATGAGTTATCTATTTATAAAAAGAAATTAAAAACAAAAATATAACTTTTTTCGGTTTAGAAGATGCAACGAAAAAGGTTAGGATAGGCTCTGAAATAAAATTGACAGCTTTATAGACGCACTTAGACATACACAAATTACATTCCTTAAAAAAATATGAATAAATTTACATTGAACACATTATGTCCCTATACGATCCGTTAAATGTGAATAGAACCTATTGACTGACGAAAGTCTATTTATATGGTACATTTATATCTAGTTAAGATTTCTGCTAATATTTTATTTAAGATATTATAAGGATACAGTTGATTTGGTTTAGCATAAAAACTGTACTGAAGATATTTAAACAACGTCCGATGACAGTATGGGCTCAGTACCCTTTGCCTCCACAGTGTATTTAAACTGAAAAAAATATACAAAAAATCTAGTTGGCATGAAGCAGTAATCAAATAATAACTAAATAGCCAAATGATGAATGAAAAAATGGACTGTTTTAACGTAAAGAAAGAAGAAAATAAATCATGTATAAAATATGAGAAATAATTTTTAAGGCATCAGTGATAGCGAAATCGACAAAGTACCTAATGCGTTAGATACCGTATTGCTTATAAAAAATATAAAATAATACTTTTCACTTGCTCGCTTGCTAATCTATTTTGCTTTCAAAATGTCTATATCGTAATAATAATAATAATGCTTAAATCTATAAACATGACTCTTCTGTCGCCCGACAGTAAATAATTTGTACAAACTAAAACGCACGCGATTTAATAAGAAAATCTCTTTGAAAACACAATTTTCTTCAATGAAATTATTTATTTAAATAGTTTTTTTGTTCCAGCGATGCTGTTATTAAATCATTTTCACAGATTTTACACAATCTCTCGCCAATATTTTTGCATAATGATAATCAAAAGTTTTCACTGTAAGTGTGCAAGAAAATCACACATTTTTTACTTGCATGAGCGATAAAAATGTTCAAGCGATATCTCTTTTACACGTGGCTTTTCTCGGTGTATTATAAACACAACAAATTGTCTATAATAAGGAAAATCACTCGAAATGTTAATTTCACTTGTTGTATGCACAGTTTCTTTAGGATACTTTCCAATAGATGGCAGTTCTTCACGTACACGCAAAAGCAAACCTCAAAACATTGAAAGTCTTCAGACCACACTCATCAATCAAGACAAGGGAAAGCCATATCCTAATTGTTCAACTTGGACGACGCTTACGGAACGCTGGCAACCTGGAAAATTATAAATATATGTATATGTAATTGCTTGCTATCGCACTATACTCTAGTGTATATATTAGTGCCACCTATCGGGTACAGTTGAAAGTTCTTTTATTTTTATGTTACATTATTATATAACTCTTAATTTTATTCAGTAAGATCTTTTACAAAGCAAAAGAAAACTTTAAGAAAAATGGACAAAATCGGTATAATCGGCCTCTCCTCAAGTTATGGCATTATCAAGGGAAATAGGGTTTCATTTTTATATATTACTAGCGGACCCGACAGACGTTGTCCTGTCTACACGTCTTTGTGAATCTAAACCATTCTCAGATCCCCTTGAACACACACAAAAAATTTCATCAAAATCGGTCCAGTCGTTTAAGAGAAGTTCAGTGACATACACACTCACAGAAGAATTATATATATAAAGATATATAACGAGCCGTCCTAGCGAACTTCCTACCGCCATAAAAAATAGGGGTTGGTGGTAGAAGGGTGAATTCGGGTTGTATGTATTTTTGTATGATGTATCTTAAAAAAAAAACAAAAACTAAAATTTTCGCCAAAACAGATAAGGGTGGATCACCCTTAACATTTAGGGGAATGAAAAATAGATGTTGTTCGATTCTCAGACCTACTGAATATGCATATAAAATTTCACGAAAATCGGTCGAGCCGTTTCGGAGGAGTTCAAGCACACCGTGACACGAGAAATTTATATATTAGTTTTCTAAAGAACATAATAACTTACAAGTCATCGCGAGGGGGTACACGGTACCACGCGCGTCTTGTCGACGTTGAACCGACACGCCGTCAACTTCATTTCCTTTGATTCATTTGCTGTCGCAACGATGCATGCTCTTCTTCTGGGGGACAACAAAGTAGACACATTGTATTTTTTTTATCTATTCTAAAAATGCAGTACCAATTGCTAACATCTGTATTAAACATGAATATTAACAGCCATTATACTAATCTGAGAGAACAAATCATTAAATAGAAATGATATTTTGTTCTATGATCACGTGACCGAAAACGCCTGGGATTGGCGAAGACTAAAATACGTCACACGCTAGAAAACTTCCGGTCAAAGTGACATTACATTGTATCGTATGACGTTATAATGACAGTCGTGTGATACTAGTGAGACGCCACAATGTCCATAGAAACGTTGCCGCGGCAACTCGAAAACGGTATTATTGTTGATTTAGTTTTTACTGAAGAACACAACATAACTATGAATATCCTTTTTATAGACTCCATAAACATAAGAAAATAACGTGAGATCGTTTTCTAAAACTTGTCAAATACCCTTGTAAATATATAAATTTCCGCAGGCCTAAGTTGCAACTTTTACCGCAAGGTTCATTTATAGAAACTCAAACCTAAAAAAAATGTTATTTCATGCCGTTTTGATACAAAATACTGAATAAAAACTCAGTCTGATTGTTATTGTCATTGCTTACGAAACACCTTTTTAAGTTTAAATACTATGACGTTCTTCTATTGCCAGTACCTTACTTGGCTATTCGTGTTTGCTGTTTGTCATTTTGACAGAAGGTTGCATACTTTAAAGGGCGTGAAAAGGAGAGATGGTTGTCAAGTTAAGTCAAGTTCCTTCTCCGACATAACAGCATAGTAATTATTTATGTGTAATAATTATTTGGTCTCGAAACGGTGGTAGGGAATTGACGATTTAAAAGTACTTAGCAAAGTCCATTTAGATAAAGATATTTTTGAATTTGAGTTTAAGTTTATAAATAGCAAATACGAAATAATGAAGTGCGCTTCCTTCGTCGTCATTGTGTGAAGCTGATAGAATTATTTTAATATAAACTGGTTGTAGTAAGATTTTTGTAACCTCGAATAAACGACATTAGATTGAATTTTAAAAACAAAACCACGGCAAACGGTTATGTAGCGATTGGTAACCATCCAATCATGAGTAGCGGTGGGCGTTTAAACGATAAGCGCTTAATTAAGCACGCTTAAAATATTAAGCTTGTAAGCACGCTTTTAAGTATAAGCGTTATAAGCTTTTCACTTAAAAAGTGTGAGTAAGCTTTTCACTTAAAAAAGTGCAAGTAAATTTTTTACTTAAAAGTGCTAATCCCGCCATCTATGTCTATGTCAGAAAACTACATACTTCGACCCTTCTAGTCCACTACAGTATCGAAAAATGGGTACGCGGAATTCCTTGGAACTAAATATTTCACAGCATATCAGCCATAGAACGCGCGACTACAGCGCCGCGTCGGCGTGCCATCTTTCGTGAGCCGGTTAATACAGCATGCGAATTATTATAATGCGACGTAAAAAAATGCACTTTTTTAAAATTTGGTCGGATAACCAACGCTTTTTTCGTTAAAAGCGTTTAATTAAACGAAGTCGAAAAGCAGTACGCTTTTCACTGTGACGGGGTAAGCGCGCGGCGTGTTTGTTGTACGGTGTGTTTGCATGCTTGCTTGTGTTAATGCATTTCGTGTATTGATTTAATGTGCATATAAAATATTTTAGTTTGTAAACTTTTTAATAAAAAATTCATTAATTAAGAACATAAAACACAATAAAACACTTAAACACATTAAAAGCGATAATAAACTTTTCACGCTTTTTTAAACGATATAAACAAAAACACAACACAACGTCGCGCTTTTTACCCATGCTTTTGAACGTTTCAGCCAATAAGCGTTTAAACGAAAAAGCTTTTTTTCAAGCGCGCTTATTTTAAAAAGTACAACATTTAAACGCTTCTAAGAAATAAGCCGCTTTTTCCATCTCTAATCATGAGGCGGATGCTGCTTTCAAACAGTGTTCTGACTGGTCGATTTTACTGTTACACTAGTTTACTGGCTAGTACTTCAAAAACTGCTCAACTATCTTCGCGACTGTTCTTCACCGTCACTTAACATCAGGTGGGGAGGAGTTATTTACATAGAGGTATAAGAATAGAGTAGGAGAGATATAGACTCTTACTACAAGTGGAAGTGTCCCTCTAATAGAAAGAGAAAGAAGATGAGAGACCGTTAGCTTTCTCTCTCAAATCGCGCATGCGCATTGGCAACCGTAAGCATCTTACTATTTCGATGTGATGTCATTCGATGCCATGCGTCACAAGAGAGAGAGATAGCTAGCGGTATCTCATCTTCTTCCTCTTTCTACTCGACGGACACTTATAGAGCCGCCTTCCACACTCTATTCTTATACCTCTATGGTTATTTAACGGACCTCTTAATAAAAAAAAAAACATAAATATCGTTTTTTTTAGGAACTGAACTGTTGTTTCAAATGATATTCTGTTTTCGAAATCTTAACTTCTGTTTATCATCATTAATAACATACACGGGCGTCTTTGTTTGTGAAAGCGCATACGTGACTCGCGTCGTGTGGATTATAAACAATTACAGTTCAAACATGTTTGTTTAAAACATCCTCATGACTCAATCGCTGTTAAGGTAAGTAATATTGTTGTAAAGATTATATGAGCCCGCTTGTTATAAATGTGAGTTTATTAAGCACTTAGTTATGTGAGATTACAAATATGTGTACATATTACCTATAATTGTCTACTAGTCCGTATCCGCGTGTTCGTCTGCGTGATATTGGTATAATTGATTTTCCAAACAAATTTATCACCATGTCCTACTTCAAGTCACCTTTATTTCGAAACCAGAATTCTTCAAATTTTGTTCAGCGGTTTAAGAGTATAACCGTTACAGACAGAAAGAATGACGTTCGCCTTTATAATATTAGTAAGAAGCAATCTTTGTTATCAATCTGTCATTTATCTCATAATAATGGCGGTGTTAATTTTTGTTAGTAAATAATTCACATGAGTCACATGCAAGTTAAAATATTACAAGAAATAAGAAAAAACTTACTGTATTTCTTCAGCGCCAGCTCCCGCTCTTGACTATCGAAGTACCACAAGGTGATAGCGTATCTGAAATAAAAGGAAAAAATAAAATAAAATTCAATATCTTTTATTCAGTTTAGGCTGTTACAAGCACTTGTGAATGTAAGGAAATTATGTCATCATCGGTACGCAAATCTACGGAGGGCAACGATATTAAATACCCTAGATACTCCACGTCCGCTCAAAATGTGTCCCAATCAAGAAGTGCTTGAACCCCATTTAAGTAATTCTTAGTTCACAGTGAAAAGTCAAGAAGCCGCGGAGCTCCGTGAAAAAATGCGAAAAAAATAGTTATAGTACGTAAAGTGTCGTTTTTTCGACAGGTATCTAATAAATGTTTTTTAATTTAACACATTTGAAGCAAATTTTGTTCTAATACTTTCTATAAACTGATTTAAAAGAAAATATTTGTGATATTCAAATGCATGGTTGCTTATATAGCCGTCTCTTTTCCTCGCGGTCCGTATCTGCTATATTGCTAACAGCGCATTTAGAATTGAGCATAGAGTCAAAGATATAAGGTCTGTATTCTTACGCATATAACAATAAGTCGTAAAATTTTACGAACTTGCATTTTGAACTGTCATAACTCTTTGACGCATGCATTTGTATTAAGACCTTATATAGTATGCATTAAAGGTGACTTTCAATAGTTAAATAATGCCCTAAATATGTTTTTGACAACGCGATCATCTTATGGAGCTCCGTGGATGGGACAATGTACCTTTTGGACAGGTTACGGCCACGATTTTGTTCGTATTATTGTATCTAGGGTATTTAATTTCGTTGACGAAGGGAGACCTTATACTGTGAAGAAACGGCAGGAAACTCAGCAAGAGCTCTTTTTCTGTGTTATTTATATCTTTCTGTGAATTATATGCAGAGTCGTCAGATTTAAAAATGATTTTAATATCGGATAATTCTCGAAGTCATCTTCCATTATATAATTTGGAATATACAATTATAAAATACCGATTTGAATACATAGTTTGGGAATGCCATATCATACAGTTCTGGCAGATAATGTGCGATTAAAGATAATTGTTATAATTAGTGACTAATTGATTTACTAAGCAACTGTAGTATCTTAGTCGAGTGTTAAGTAAACTGAGTATGGTGTCATTATTTTCAATTGCATATTGGGTCACTGTACTAAATGATAATCTTTATGTTTGTGAGTAACACCGCAATCAAATAAAATTTAAAAACCACTACAAGGCATTTCGATCTAAAAAAAATTTACTAGAAAAGAAATGCACGCGATCCAGGCCACAGACGGGACTCGAACCCGCACCCTCCGCTATCCGAGCGGAGACACTGACCAATTATGCTACCGCGACGTTAATGAGCGTGTCAAATTTCCTCTAGTATTTCTTAGTTTTCTTGTATTTCCCTATGAGGTGGACCGACGATCTTGTGACGGTCGTGGGAAGCCCATGGATGCGATTGGCGCAGGACCGCTCGGTGTGGAGATCTTTTGGGGAGGCCAATGCTCAGCAGTGGGCATCGTACAGCTGACATGATTATGATCACAGAACACAGAAAGAGGTTAGAAGGGAGCTGATAGAACGTTTGTACGGGAACCGCTGTCGCCGGCTCGCCCCCACTACACTTCCACCCAATAGATAATAGCCAATCAAACGATGCGACATCAAACAATCAACCCAATCAGCGCTCACACCCGAGAGCAATGATGCAATCAGAACCAAGTTTTGTCAAGTTATGAGCATTTGCTCACACATAACTCTGGCGCGCTTGCCCCGCCCACAAGGCCCTTGTAATCTCTTTCTTTGTCTGTGATTATGACGTAGCTCCATTCATATTATGACATACCTAGTGCTATGGGCCGGCTGGACCTCGTGCGGGTTTCTTCGGTCGGACCAGAAGAACAGCATGCGGTCAAAGATGGGCGCTATATCCGCCACCTGGTCCGTACCTTCTGGGAATACCCTGTGAAGTTGAAACGAAACTATAGGGTATTGCACTCTACTTGAGAAAAAATCTATAAATTTATTATTGCGATCATTTAGGCAAAAAGGAGTCGGAAAGTTTCAGTTCATAAAAAAATAAAATGCATTTTAAAGTTCATAAAAAGTTTTTTTTAATCTGTTTTAAAACACGATGATGTAGTAGACGTAGTAGCCGCCACATTATTAGGTCACACCGCTAGTATATGCCAAGGTGTCAGCTGTCAACTCAGTACTTTTTATGTTTTCACAACCAAGGTAACGCATTTATTTGCAGTATTAATGACGTCAAGACCTCAGAGCAATATGGCGTCCACTGCGTCAAGCGGTTTCGTTTAACTACGCGCGAATTTTGGAAATGTTAAAATTAAATGCATTTTTAAGACTTAAAACCATTGAATAAAAAAAATATGTTTTTTAGTAGCACATTTGCTCTTTCGAATTTAATTGTAATATTTTTCAAAAATGGTTGTAATTATTACATTTCATGACCCCCGAAAATGTAAGGATTCCGCTATACGCTTATGTTTTACGTTTTCTGTGGTGTAAAATAGAAAGTTGTGGATTGCATGCGCTTTATAGGAATCAGCTGTGTTTAATATCAATCTTTGCTGTTATTTTGCTGTTATTATGCTAGCATACTAAACATGGCTTTTTGTGGTTACATAACTGGTGAACAACAGCAGTATATATCATGCTTTTAAAGTAAATGAATAGAAGAGTCAGCGTTCAAATTTAGTTATACGAATACCCATGTGTGTGTGCACTATAACACTTTTAAACACCGGGGCCAAGTATAGTAAAAGTCTAAGCTAAGAAAATAGCAACCACTACTATTAGATTTGGGGCAACGACATCTACATGCCCTACATATAACCAAAGGCTGGAGGAGATAATCCCTCGCCTCTTCAAGAGATGGCGCTAACGGCGCTGCGATCAATAAGTATGGAAGCCTACATCGCGCAAGGGAAATTCGGAGATAAACACTTAATATTTTATATGCAATGCCAAACCAACATCAGCGGGGCCGCGGTCCCCAAGCTACCATCACCCAGCTCGGAGGAAGATTTTCCCCTTTGGCCTTCCTACAGATTTTTTAATATATTTTTTCTTCCCTTTTTTGAAACAAATGTAAGCGTAAATAATTGAAAATACCTGAGCAAGCCCCCGTACCGCCGCACGTCCCAGTCGAGGTTGAGGTAGTATATGGCGGTGATGCAGCGGCCATCTTTGTTTGGGTTGTCTACATGCTTCACGTAATGGCTGCCATGACCCGGGTAACACGCCACCATAGCCTGTTAACAGTAAGTTTTCTATAAATGATAATAAATAATGTAGATTTCCACGTCTGTCTGTGTTATCCGCTAAATTCTCCAAAGCTACACGAAACAACGGATGAATAAATTTTTCATCACCAGTTACATAATTTTTCGCCTATGGTTTATGCGTTTAATAGAAGCCTGGTAACAAAAACTAAGTTAACGCCATAGCGAATATTTAAAATCCGAGGCCTACTTTTTAATGCCAATAGTCAAAATATCTTTATTCAAATTGGATCCAAAATACAACTGTTTTGAATCGTCCATATTTTTTCCCTACCACCAGTGAAGGACATTTTTTTAGCTTTGGAGAAAAACTTCACAGCGGTAAATAATTGTGTAACAATCATCATCATCAGCCCATTAATGTCCCCACTGCTGGGGCACAGGCCTTCCCTATGGATGGAATAGGGAGATTGGGTCATGACCCACCACGCGGGCCCAATGCGGATTGGCGGGTGCTAACGACTGCAGATGCAGCCGGGACCAACGGCTTAACGTGCCTTCCGAAGCACCGAGGAACTCGAGATAGAAGATTTTTGGTCACCCATCCAATCAATGACCGACCACTGCGAAAGTTGCTTAAATTCAATGATCGCAGCCGAACGCGCTAACCACTTGCGCGATCGAGCTCCTCGAAAGACACAATGTGTGTAACAATATTTACAAAATATTATATTGTTACGGTGTCAATACAAAATAATTTCATCTTTATCGCCTGCCGGAACGTTTGGAACAGTTTAAACTAAAGCATTTTTGGTCTGAAATATAATCAGACACTTTATAAAAATAAAGAATTTTATGTTATATTTTATGCCATCTATTTATATCATACGTTAAAAATACATGAAATTATGTAATTGGTTTACGTTTCTAAATACCCATTTAAGTATATTGTCTTTGCACTACAAATAAAGGCTGTCGCTCGCCGTTTGTTTGACTACCTCGAGTATTAATTTTCCTCCACGCGTTTGCTTTTCCGATTTACAATTGCGCTTTAATAAATAAGCTTAAAGCGTTCGTTGAAAATGTTTAACTACTTGTTAGTACTGCAAGCCTGTTTAAAGATTGGTTAAGTAATGACAATAAACAAATATTGGACGACAATACATCGGACATACACAGACAGACGGACAGAAAAAGACGACTTTGCAATTCAACGTGCTATTAGCTTTCCGACCTTAATAATCAAATGGCAGTTATCAAACTAAAGCGCTAGATTAAATTAATTTATTACAGGGCGAAAATCAGTAAAGCCCGGTGTAGGTTTATGTGGTTTAGAACCTGGATTTTTCTGTTCTTCGGAAATGAATTGTATTCAGATACATTATTATTCTACGTCATACGTATGCAAAAGGGGTGATGAAGGGGTACAGTAAACGAAATTCTATTTAGTTCGTCAGTTAGCTGATCAAAAAATAATGGACACGTATTTTTCTTTGGGCAATCAACCAAAAAATGACCGCAAAGTTTGGGAGTAGGGGCTCGTGACGTCACTTTTAAGTGAAAATTGTACCAAAACGTGACGTCATGCGTCTTTTCAAATCAATATAGCTCTGCAATGTCTATATTATGTCAAAAAAGAAAAAAATACGTGTCCAACACTTTTTGATAATTTACCTGATAAACGAAGAAAAAAAATTTGTTATTATCCCTAATATCAACTTGTTAACCACACCTCTCATAAATTAATCTCTATCGATTTCCGTAAAAGGCAAAGATTGTGCCGTAGCGTGCGTATCAGTAAAAACACTGTAGGTTGATGGTGACGTATGTAATATAAAAAATCTAAGGAATATCAAAATACAATAGACAGTTAAGATAATTCACCAAATGCTTCTGCATATTTTGCACTTGCCACAATACCGCAGAACAAAATCTACTCGGGAGATGCAGTAAATACTTTATAACCCATAAACGTGAGGATTTTATTAGCATGTTGTTATACACATACCTATTCCAATAGTAAATAATGATTAATAGAAATGGAACTACGCCGCGTTGTGTGGTCGCTGTGAACTTAGCCGTTAGATAACTCGGGTACAGAATGGGAATGATTATCAAAACTGAATTTGAATTCTATTGTGACGACGTACGGTACATATTCAGACAAATAGTGCTTACGTGCATTGGTGACGATATTAAGGATGTTAATGGTTTTCTTGATTACATATTTTGCTTTAATGAAAAAAGTTGGATTTGCGATTTATTTTGACATGATAAGATCATTTAATATTTCTACTTCAAATAATAGACGGTACATATTTATTATATAATACATATAGCTTAATTATATCAAAATATAAAACAAATGGTACTTAGTCGGTTATTTCTATATTACAATAGACAGAGATTTATTGAATTCGTAGATAGTTAAATTTTATATGAAGCATTTACTACCTATGCTTTAATCACAATGGGATGAGACCGCGTGATGTGATTGAAGAGGTTTAAATTGCGTCATATCGACCCAAAACTATATTTTATAATTCGTTAAATTAACTGAAAAAAATCTTGCGTATAACACAACATTTAAGTTATACTTAGAACGCAAAATGAATATTTATAGTGATATAATTCATTTGTTAAAAAATTTAGACCACTAACATTAGAAGAGAATCGTGTAAAACATTTGGTCCTACGAGTACATCCATCATCTAATATCTAATATTATCATAACGCAAACACTTACTTCCGGTATCTTATCACCCACTCATTATTGAGCTGTCTCGTTAGTGAAGATTCGTATTATTTCACAAACAACTTCTAATGAAAGCTTCTAATCAATTTATAATAGTAAATAATCGAATTATTGATATTATGCGGTCGATGCCTACTAGAAGTCCGATAGTTGTTTAATTCATTAATTTATTATTGATTCTGGCCCAATGATATAGTAAACTATATAATTAAATATTATAACTTCTTGTTTATATATGTGATATCATATTTCTGGGCCAATATTATTGACCGTTTGAAATAAGCGGTACATTATAAGAGAATACAGATTCACTTTGATTCTCATTCAAAAGCAAACAATAATATTCGTGATTGGGTTACATAATAATAATACATATTCAAAATATTCATTTATTCAGTTTAGGCTGTTACAAGCACTCATAAATGTCTAGTAGCTACGCCATCGGTTCGTAAATCTACGGCGGGAGACTTGTATTATTTACGAGTATTACTAGCGGCCGACCGCGACTTAGTACGCGTAGAGTTATTTAGAAATAAAGGTTTCCTGCTTGTTCCCCGTAGGTGATAGCGTGATAATATGTCGCCTATATGTTGACCCGATTTCTTAATAATATTCGTGCCAAATTTAAAGTAAATCCATGCAGTACTTTTTGAGTTTATCCCGGACATACATACAGACAAAAATTCTAATAACTATATTTTTGGCTTCGGTATCGATTGTAGATCACACCCCCAAGTATTCTTTTAAAATATATTCAATGTATAGTTTTGACTTTCCTACCATTTTATTGTATGTATATTATTGTATATATACATTTATCTACTATTATTATCGAAGTCATTACAAAAGATTTATAATTATTATAAGGATGTTTGGTTATAAAATACTTTAACTATAATATTGATGTACTTGAACAAAAAAACACTATTTCTAAGGATTTCCCAAGACACGATGCTGAAGTATATTCATATTTTAAACATGAAGAGATTTTCCAACATTACTGAGGTTTTTCCTCAAACAGCCGATGTATTATGATTAAATACAATAGCAGTAGGTGAGTGATAAATCGCGACGGTATTATAATGCCCTGATTGTTATTAATTTTCTTACTTACCTGTTAGATATTTGATAATATAAAAAGGTGGGAAAAGAAATAGTGTAAAGATTACAGAGTGTTTGTTGTTGCTGAAAACAAGTCTCCAAGATGTTTTAAAACTTTGCTGAGATAAAATAAAAATTATATATTTGGAACCACGAATTTTTCTTTAAACCTTCTAGTACTCATTTCTTCTGTACCTTTTTAATAAATATTCTTTAGGGTAAATAGAACTTTCAAGCAAAATTAGATAATGTCAGCGATTTTGTGACAATAGACTGGGAGTCCAGCCGGTATTAGGTCATCTATCATTTTACTTCGCTGTAAATTAATCGTGGGACATTCCACAGTAAGATGTTGTAAGCATTCATAGTTGTCTGCGATACATTCTTCTATATCGACACTTCACTGATGGTTTCTAACTTTATCCTACAGAATTTGTATGATCTTACAAACATTCTCGGAAAAAGGAATCGCCCATGAGTCAATTTCAGTCTATTTATGGAGGAATTTGGGAATACGAATACGTACGGATAATGAATTTTTAAATAAATCGAGTTTCAACGGTATAAATGCACTGATTTATTTATTTATGACGTTTCGTATTCTTTTCAGGCCGCGTCGTCAGAATTAAGTTTTTTTTTATCTATATAGCCAGTTTTATATAGTTTCCATGAATCTCTAACCACCTCTTTTTTGTGTATAATCAAACACAATTGTTTTAAATATAACATGCTTATCAAAAGTATGTATCCAAAAAATTGCTAATTTTCATGAGCAATTTCCACTTGAACTTTAACGAACGTGCCCCATGACCTCATCTGAAAAAGGAACCAAAAAAACCGTCAACGTTCGAATTGCATTTATCAATAAGACCTTTTTACCTTGACAATAGAGTCGACAAAGGGCTAACGAACTAAGGTCGATTGATGTAGGGCCAATGTCACCACAAAGCAAAGGCCGATGAGCACGTGCGGCCAAGCAGGTACACATGCCTACTACTACGTAACCGAAATGTAGGGCACCATGTTGCGACTATGACAGAATTCGTCATTCATTGTCGACAATCGAAAGATTACAGCTATTCAACTCGATCCAATGCGTAGAGAAAGTAATCAATCTTGGTACGTCTCTTTATTACAACTAACGGGTTTTTAAATTAAATTAGCTATTCACATGTGTCTACGTTGATGACTATGCCAAAAAAAAGTTTATTTATTTACTAGCGGCCGCCCGCGACTTCGTCCGCGTTGATTTTAGTTTTTTTTCTAAAATAAAAGTAGCCTAAGTTTACATCAGCTGCCTGCCAATAAAAGTCCCGTCAAAATCGGTCCAGCCATTAGAGATATTATCCGGAACAACAGACAGACAGATAGAAAAAATTGTAAAAATTGGTGTACATATATTCATATACATGTAGTAAAAAGCGGTTATTTCAATATTACAAACAGACACTCCAATTTTATTTATATGCATAGATTTAATATCTACACAGTTATTACATTATTTAGTAAAACATTAAGGTATTACCTTTATGTTTTAGAATCGTAGAATCCAAACTGATATCCACCACAGTACGCAAAACAGTAAATTAAAAGCAATAAGATAAATTATAAGAAAGTTTAAGTTAAGCACTTTCTGTGCAAATTTGATTACAAGATACTAATGAAAATTTGAAGGGTTTAGGTTTTTTCGAACTTAGCATTAGCATTGACATTGAATGAGGAGCTCGATGGCGCAAGTGGTTAGCGCGTTCGGCTGCGATCGTTGAAGTTAAGCAGCTTTCGTAGTGGTCGGTCATTGGATGGGTGACCAAAAATTCACTATCTCGAGCTCCTCCGTGCTTCGGAAGGCACGTTAAGCCGTTGGTCCCGGCTGCATCTGCAGTCGTTAGCATCACCCAATCCGCACTGGGCCCGCGTGGTGGGTCATGGCCCAAACTCCCTATTCCATCCATAGGGAAGGCCTGTGCCCCAGCAGTGGGGATATTATAAGGCTGATGATGATTGAAAAAGCGTCATGATTATATATTTTGTAGATTTCCAATTGCAGTAGCTACCTCGGTTTGAAGTGTTTTTTATGACGTAAAGTTTGGTTAACGTAAACTTAGACATGGTAGAAATCATCAGTGAGCAATGGTATCATCCTCCATCTATCCAAAGCGTCTGTATAAAACTTTACGCGTTTTCAACTTGTAGTTCAAACTTTCCGTCAATTTCATTGAAGCAATATACGTAGGCGAATTCGGGAATCCATCCACGTAATTGCTTATTTATAAATGACTGTATTATGGAGATTCTGTTCAATAAAGTAAATTGGTTAAAAGAAATCAGGAAATTATATGGCAGCAGTGAACTGACCTACATTTCGTTAAGTGATTTTATTTTGCTGTTAATATTGGGGCAGAACGAAAATAGATTGCCCACAGACATGGGGATAAGAATAATATTATTGTTCGTATCGGAAGCTATCGGATTCACTTCTAAACAAGAGCAAATGTTGAACAAACACTGTGATCATAATGGTGGTATCAATATCAAACTAAGCATTACATATCCTAAGGTTTTATTTATTTATTTAGTACAATTTTATTATTTTTACATTCTAGTAAGTTTATTTTCATCCTAGTTCACAACAAAGTAAAGGTTAGCAAGTACCTACTATAAATAAATAAATAAATATTTCCAACACATACGACAATTAGCCTAGCCCCAAAGAAAGCACTGTAAGGCTTGTGTTATGGTATAATAGGGTAACGGATAGAATACATATACAAGTATATTATTTATATAGAAATACATATTAAACATCCATGACTGGAGTATAAATGCTCGTATTCATCACACATACATCTGCCACCACCGGGGGATTCGAACCCGGGACCTCTCGAGTAGGTGACACCTTGAAACTCGGCGTACAAACCTCTGGGCCACGGAGGTCGTCAAACTAGTGTGTTAAGTACAATGAACTTAAGTTATTGACGCTGTGTGCTAGATAAATAAGTGAATATGAATAACATAGGAAATAAGAATGTCATAATTATTTACAAATTAATAATAGCATAACAAGCATTATTTTCTTTTAAATAAACTGGAAGCTGCTCAAACGCTTATTGATGAATTGACGATAATGGCGCACAAGCAACGACAACAAAAATCAGAAATAGATGCATCAGGATCTTTGTGTTATTCTACAAAGAAGAGTGGAGAGCTCGTCCAAAATTTTGATTCACGGAGTGTAATTTAAGACCCAAACGTCGAACGCAAACGCTATAGCGCGGAAACGCTACTACGTGCCATGATGCATTTCACACAAACGTAACTAAAACGTAAACATTGGTTGGCGGTTGGCACTGCGGACTGCGGTTAACGGCGTGGGATTCTCTACAAGCTAAGTACGTTACTTTAGTGTGTGTAATGTTTACAGCAGTGTCACCCCCCGCGCATGGCCCGCGCCTGCCACGGGTCACGTACGCAAGCCCGCACTGCGCATGCGCCGAAAACGCGCGCGCGTTTATTTTGGTTTTTATCTACGATAGTAGCCGCGATATGAACATATTATTATCATTGGCGACGACGACGTATGAACGATAACACTAACTAATGATGGCGGAGGGCATGACTTGCCGCGTCGATGGTGTTCAGCACCGGTCTTGCCTGGCTCTTGGGTAGGACTAAGTACCTAGATAATTTATCAGCTCTATTTTAGTAGAAGCTTTCAATTCACGTTAATTGAACTTTATACAAAACGAGATTGTAATTCAGCTCCGTTTCGGTCGACGCTTTCAATTAACTTAATTTGATTTCAGTTTAGCATCAAATAAATAAAAATTCCAATCTTTCTTTGGAAATTGCTTTTTTCATTTACCTTTTTGGCGCCACCTGGCGTCTAGTACGACCCTCCATGTCGCTCAACTCCAGGGCCGTGTTTTTCTAGTCAAGGTAAGGTCCAATTTTTTATCGCATGCGGGTAAACTTCTAGGTTGCTTCTGGTTACACACATAGTTTTATATTGAAATTGTCTGCTGTGATCATAGAACTGAGTTTACCGAGACGATGCTTCTAAACGTTGAAATTTATTCAGAAACTTTTTTTTATGTATATTAGGCAATGCGTTTGACCACAATCTCGCCTGATGGAAAGCGATGATGAGGCCTTGGATAATACACGCCTGCCTAAAAGATGCCTGTTTACTCTGGCCTTGAAGATGTAACTTCTTAAACATGATATAAGTAGGTACGCTATATCATGAAACGTCAATAAATAAATAAAGTTTTCGTGCATTAACCCGTAAAAACTAGTTTTATTTAATGAGTGATGTGCGTGAAAACCTAAGAAACAAATATGATATAGGTACCCTCTTAAAAATATTAAGAAATTATTGGTTTGCTCGGTGATCATTATTCGCTTGCTGTGGTCCCATTATCTGTATTTAGGGTAGACGCGTACTGTCTGCCGTCATACCAATTTGAACTAATTTCTTAGTCAAATCATCTTTTAGGCATTTTATCTATATTCTTTTCCGTCTTCGATGTTTCTCCTTGTGGGCCCGTCCATATTCATGTTTATCGCTCGCCCTGTCGCTTTCTTATTAATGTCCGTACGTATGACAGCCGGCTACTTCATCATTAAGAACAATTAAAATAACAATGTTGTAAGAAATTCAATGAAATCATTCTCTATGAAAATTGAGCTGAATGAAATCTCATATAAAGTGACTACTTTATTATTTTCTCTTCCTACTAGTTCAGGATATCTTTTTGAGCTGATAAGAAGAGGAGCAATAATTTAACTTTTTATCACAAAATCATGTAATATAAACACATATTATAATGATGGACCTATAAATAACGTTTTTATCGAGTTAATCAAAATCGAGCAATATAATGTACATACAGCAAATCAAATGAAACTATACCAATTACCACGTTGTCGATTAGAACAATTGATGTTATTCTTATTTCCTTCATTTTCTCATTTCGTATGTGCACCGCTTCCTTTGGAGCTTCATCGATAAACATCCTTATTAAGGTAGAGATATTTTGCGTCTCATAGAGCCCCTAAGCGTATACCCGAACTCCTATACTCCCTGAAGAAACACTCAGTCCTAACTGCAAGACCCCAAAAGTCTTGCAGGCTTAGTCTTGTTCTAACTCAAATCTTGCACGGTCAGTCTTGGTCTTGGTCTTGCGAAAATGCGCCGTGGCACCTATAGCTATTTACTCCACGCCAAAGCTAACGCTACCGCTTACCAACAGCCGCTTGTCACCCTCAGTGGTATAAAGAAAAACGACGGGTTGCACTCCGGGAGTGCCGGCAGAAGTGAAAACTTGAATATTAACGTTGTGCATTTTTGATATTTTGGAATGGTTAGGGAATAATTTTGCACGAATTGCTTTTATTATCTGTATAAAAGTACTAACATGTATGTGGTAGAATACAATATTTATTTATTGCGCTATCGTACACAAACATGACAATTTATATTACATTAAATAAGTTTATCTTTCAGAAAAATCAAGTTACATGAATCACGTTTAAGCGCACTTAGCGACATCTATTGTGAAGAAATAAACTTACATGAATCACATTTAAGCGCAGCTAGCGACATCTATTGTAAAAAAATGCATTTTCTTCGCAATAAAGCTGCCACGTGGACGTCCTAGATAGTCTTATTATTATAATACGATAAAATAAAATATTACTATGTATCGTTCAATATATTGAAGGTCAACAACATTTCCAATTTTATTGTGTGTCATGATGCTATCAGCCCACGTGTTTAACCTGACGCGAGTTTAAAATTTTTTACCCATACAAAAAAAAGTTTACAACGCCGCTAAAGAAGTTTTCACTTCAAAACTAACTATTGGTAATTGCAAGTAATAAATACCTTAGTCCGCCCGTTGATGAAGTAGTCGCCCATCTTCCCGTTATTGGCCATCTTGTTCGCCCTGAGCACGATGTTGTCCACCTGGAATATTTTAATTACATTTTAATATCGCACACACCACACCGACTTGCGGCATAATGTATTCTACCATTTGTACTACCTACGGAAAAACACGATGGAACGTTAAGATAAAATTATAATGTAACTACTAGAATGTGATCCGGATGTGCATAATAGCTTCACATTATTATCTATTGATGGGTTGACACGGAGAAATGTGCGATGCCCTCATCATACATATAAAACATTATAAATTAACTAGTGATTCGCCTTCACTTCGACATCATGTGGGCTATAGTTTTAGTTCCCGGGCTTGTATATATATATATATATATATGTATATATCCATTTAGCCTAACCCCAAAGTAAGCACTGTAAGGCTTGTGTTATGGGATACTAGGATAACGGATAGAATACATATATATACAGTATATTTATATAAATATACATATTAAACATTCATGACTGGAGTATAAATGCTCGTATACATCACACAAACATCTGCCCCCACCGGGTTTAGAACCCGTGACCTCTTCGAGTTGGCGACACCATGAAACCCGGCGCATAAACCACTCGGCCACGGAGGTCGTCAACCACTCATTCAATTTTCATATTATGTATAAACAATTTGAATATTCCGTGGAGAATTATCTAACTAAAGGCATAGCGCAACACGTCGACGCTGCCAGTGGGCCAATCGCCTAACCAGATTGCTTTGGAAAACGCTATCGCTTACGATTTCATTTTGTTATTTCTAGCCACCTGAGGTTTACAAATGCCTCGCGTCTTTTTTTTTTCTTTTACATTGTTAATAACAATATTAAAAAAAAATGAGCGTGAGGTATTTGAAAACCTTCGGCGGTCAGAAATAACAAAATGAAATCGTAAGCGATAGCGTTTTCCTAAGCAATCCCGTTAGGCGATTGCCCCCCAGGAGGAGAGTAGGCATACACATCTTTCCTCCCTCTCGCATTGGGCATACAAACGATACATTTGTGCAGGATTTGACGGTGTATTGCGTCATGAGTGTGTCGCAATTACAGTTAAGTTTTTTTATTTGGATAGTACATTGCCACTATGGCCACAGCTATGACGCCTTCCTTCCGTGGTTCTTTATGAACCAAAAGTGAATGAATACCGCATGAAAAACCGTTGTATGTGGAGTTAGCCAAAATACTCGGATTTTACAGTAATTTTTTAGCTACATTACAATATGTGACTAACATGTTATTAATAAACATGCTGGTGAAACAAAAAAAAAATAGAATGGTTTAGCTGCTGCCTTGCCAATGCCGATGAAAAATATGTTGACACGAAGGGCCGCGGCATATTCGGAAGCTTGTTGTAAATGAACTCCATGGTGGTTGGTATATTCATCGGTTTTCGAGGTATCGTCCATTCAAAGGTCCTTGGGTGCGAATCCCGGTAGTGATAAATGTTTGTATGATGAATACGAGCATTTGTACCCTTTATGGCTGCTTATAATGACTAAACCTACAGTTATAATAACACATACAACACAAACCTTACACTGGTGCCGATTATAGAATTATTCTCTAAACCTAAACTTACAGTCTTTCCAATTTACTTAAAAATACTTCAATCACCAATATAATTACTGAACCTCTGTATCCCTAGCACGAACGATTATCGAATTCGAACAGTTTGCAAACCGAAATGTCAATGTCAAATTTTGTATGAAAACTAGAACAGCAGCGGCACAAAGTACGTACGAACTAAAAATCAGTACAAATTTCACAATGATATTTTGGACTCGCAAACGATACGAATTCGATATTGGTTCGTGCTAGGGGTACTGTATTATCATATATGTACTTATTAGTTTCAGTGTAGTCAATGGCGCTCGCTGAAATAAGTAAAAGTATATATTTGCTATACTAACAAAAAAAAACTCAATTTAAATTTAAAAACAGTGTATCTCTATACGGAATGAAAAGGAAAAACTAATGTTAAATTTTGTTTTAAGTTTAGAGAATTATGCCAGAATCGCCACCAGTGATTCTAATTGGTGTGTTACAATATTTATCACTAGTTGCCCAATTTCGCTTAGGCTATAATTTTTGTGCAATATGTACTTAGTATATGACACTCGCAAATAACGTGGCTTTCTATTGGTAAAAGAATTTTCAAAATCGATTCAGTAGATCCAGAGATTACCCCCTACAACCTTACAAACTTTACCTCTTTATAATATTAGTTTAGATTAGACTTATACTTGTACGTGGCTTTTTATTGGCAAAAGAATTTTCAAAATCGGTTCAGTAGATCCAAGATTACCCCATACGACCTCACAAACTTTACCTCTATAAAATACATATTAGTTTAGTTAGACTAATACTTGTAGGTTTTCTATTGGTAAGAGAATTTTCAAAATCGGTTCAGTAGATCCAGAGATTACCCCCTTCGACCTCACAAACTTTACCTCTATAAAATACATATTAGTTTAGTTAGACTAATACTTGTACGTGGCTTTCTATTGGTAAGAGAATTTTCAAAATCGATTCAGTAGATCTAGGAGATTACCCCCCTACAACCTCCCAATTTTATTTTTTTATAATATTAGTTTAGACTAATACTTGTAGCCTAAGGGCTAGCAACCATTTCCGGAAATCATCTTAGAGCCAATCAATGTCAAATTTTGCGTCGCCGTTGAGGTGTAACTATGGGAGTGACGTTTACACATTTTTTATTCTCAAGCTGCACCTTTGTTTGGTAATCTGCCGACCCGGAATGATTTTCTACAATCCGTCAAATGACCTTAATGTTTAAGGTCTTTTTTATTAATATCGACTAAACACATACCTAATACCAAAGTAGATCAATGAAATATTTCGCGGTAGGTATCTAATAATAATGCTTTTAGGATCGAGGGTTGAAAGTAACAATGTAACTTTTCCACAAAAGTTCTAATAAAAGCATTGACGAAGCATCAAACGAATGACAAATCGATACATTCAACTTTATTATGTTTTGTACTTCTGTCCCCTTTCTGCTTAAATTCCTATAAATTAACCCTTTTTGAGTCTTAAACTTTTAATATATATTTCCTAATTTAAAATTTTCCGACAATCTGGTGAAGGTCGCTTTATGTCGATGGATGCGAATAGTGCGAATTTTGGTATCAATTAGTTGAACTAGCGTTGGAGTACGATATTAGGCTACTTTTTTCCAAACTAACAATTGAAGGTGATATGAAGGGATGGTTTGTATGTACAACCGAATTATTTTAAAAGCTCAAAATCGCGGTAGCCCGCTAATGTATATAACACTTATATGTTTTTGATATACAAGTCAGTATTTTATCAGATGGGAACTATAATATGAATGGATAATAATGGATGGCTACAAGGAAGAACGTAGGTCCATTTTTCGATCGGTTGCCTCAAATAATATTGGTGCTGTTTATTTTTGCGGTTAATATAATGCGACTGTGACATTTTCTATACATCAAGTTAGTATGGCGCGTTTAAACAATCCATTATGAGGGGAGGCGCGCAATGTTTTTTCCATAAAAACATTCCCGACTGATTCCTCCTTGATTTCTATCACTAAAGAATTGATTTTCATACATAAAATATAATTTTATTATTCTATGCTCCTATATTTTCCTTCTTTCGATAACTTTAGAAGTCCTCGAAAAATGACAAAAATAAACAAAATTTTAATCACCAATAAAGACGTCTAGTGTGGAGATTTAATAAGCATTTAAAAAAAATCAAAACATAGAGGTATAGTATAACTACTTATAATTCTATGTGTAAATTTTCTTTTACATAGATATATCTAATTTTCGAGGAGGAAATCGTCAAGAGTCAATCCTCGAATTTTGCTGTTTTTATACGCAATTTTCAGCGATAACTATTGTTGTTGTCCCAATCATACGGTATTATTTGCCAATGCGTGACCGCAATAGTTTTTTTAAATACTTATTTCTCAAATGTCTATTAGTTCGCGTCCGCTCTTAACTAGGTACCTGTTCGAATTATTACGCGTTGATCTTGGATAAAAACAAAAAGGGAAGCACTCGCGGCTCAAAAGTTCTCCGCTTAAATTGTGATGGATGACCACAATTTGCTTTAGTCTCAATTGGAAATTCAAACTATTTCAAACACGCTGCATGTGCACTCTATATAACAATATTGCGTATCTGCGTTGTTCTGTATTATAAAGATAAAACAATGCCTTTGAAGCTTTTATAAAGAACACAAATAGTTCAAAATCAAATAACAAATGCCTCAAGAACACTTCATTCGTAAAACTGTAAAAGCATTTTTTTCTCAATAGTCACGGTTTGTCGTGAATGTTGTTTACGTAATCGCCGTTTTGTTATCAAAAAAAGGACAACAATACAGCTCAGCCGTTCGGACTCGGATGCGGACTCGCCGTTTCGCTCGCGCTGCGTTGAAACTTACAGTTCTGTCTCGCTCGCTCGATTGAATTTTTATTTACAGACGTGTGCGTGTGTGAGTTGCTTATGTAGTTGACCGACCGAAATATGAGCGTCCGAATCTTCTCTATTTGTTTTAATCTAAGATTGATATCAATTAAATACATAAGTTTATAGATGTCTGTTACATCTATAAACTTTTATCAAGGGCTAAACTGGGACATTTTAAAAGAATTCCTGTAAGTAATTAAACATTCACTTTAAAAGGTAAATAAATTATGAGGTATGTTATCGCGTGCTATTGACATTCGGAATTTTTTGATTGCGATAAATTAAATAGGTATGTATAATTTCTACTGTGGTCATTATTTAACGTTTTATACATAGGTACATAACTCGTCGGGCGGCTACTGCCGATATCAAACACCACATATTGATTTCTATTTTCTTCCGTCAAATCTTGTTTGATCAGAAACGAAAATCTATTTAATATTTCAATCTCGACCCCGCCCGACTTCCAAATCATGAACCTGATATTATTTTTTACTGTTTAGTTCCACCTATCCCATGCCGCAGCTGTCGGTATGGGATAGGTACGATTGGTTCTGGGCCAAATACAACAGTGCCCGACCCTCTCCTGGCCAGGCAGTCTGCCGCATCATTGCCCCTTCACCCACTATGGCTTTTTATCCATTGGAGTATGCCCTCGTTTGCGTTGCCTACCTCCATTAGTTTACAGTGGCACTCGAAAACCAGGCCGGAGGACATAATGTTTTTGTCTAGCGCTTAAGAGTACCGAAGCACTGTCAAAGAGTATCCGGATGTCCTTGCCCCTGATTGCACGGCGTATGATGGCCTAAGCTGCTCTGACAATGCCTATACACTCCGCCTGAAAGACGGTGTTGAAGATACCCAGGCTGTCTGATATATGTATGATAATAGATAATATTCTCCGAGAACACACCAGTACCAGTGTTGGTTTTAAAAACAAAGGGTCAAGTCAGTCTCCAGTTTTATCGTACTAATACGAATAATTTAATACGCAGTACTAACATGGACCAGCATTCGTTTCGCTACCCGCGATATGGTTAATAAAATAACAGCCATAATATTAATCTCATTCATAGGCACTATGAAAAAGTACGTAAGAAGTGTAATGTCTGCTTATCTATTTTCTTGACTTACATGAAAGGTGACACTTATGAATCTTAATAATACAGGTAGGTAACAAACTAGTCAACCTCACTTGATTATAGGAACAGGAGAAAAGACATCAGTTCTCAAAATGTCAAAATGCATTGCTAATGATCGGCGCAGGAGCATTGTCTTGGTAGTGTGGTTTTAGGGGAATATCACCGATCATTTCGCCGAGCCCCTAAGTTAGGCAAAAAGAGAACATATCCTCGTTTGCTATCTCTGGGTAGTGAACAGGAGGTAATGCATTGCATTAAAAAGTGGAAGAGGGCAACTGGTGCAGTGCAGCAGTTGCACTTAATTTTTACTCCCCTGTGAGATTTTGGCGAGTTGAATATTTGTTACTTGATTAGAGCAATGTGCATTGCTGCGTACACGAGACGCCAATCAGAAGGCACCAATTTTTATCACAACTTTATCTCAATCGTATGTCAACAAACAAATTGCCATTAAAGTACAGACTTATCAAATGATTTGAGTAATCTACATACCTATGTAAACTTTCGAGTTGCAAACTTTGTATATTATCTGCATTATGTGGTTAAAATTGTATTTCAATATTTATACTAATCATATTTTTCATATAGTTCCATTTGCTGCTGGACAACAAAAACACACCATTTGATAATTTGTATATCACACTAATATTATAAAGGCGAAAGTTTGTGGGTGTGTATGTTGGTAACTTCTTCACGTCTAAATGGCTGGAGCGATTTTAATAAAATTTGGTATGGAGTTAGCTGACGCCCTGGATTAACACATAGGCTACGTTTTACTGCCGGAAAATATCTCTTATAAACCGCGGGTAACACCGCGGGGCACAGCTAGTAATTATATATGTACTACAATAGTAGACATCTTCACTTAAATATTGATGCAGTTGGTGCATCAGAAAACAAACAACTGACTGGAAGAATATATAGATTCACTGATAGACATGTAAATATATGATAGACAAGGTTAAAGCACTTGCGGAGACGAGATAAAGCAATTATTTAACAAAAAGTACTAATTTTTAAGTTACTGGAGATATTTACTGCCAATATTACAGTGGATACTGTGGTTATTTCTAGTTTTTTTTTTGATAAATAGTACTTTTATTTGTTTTTTACTTAATATCCACAAATACTCATACATATCATAGTTAAAGGAAGATAAAACAGATCAGAATTATTTGTTTTTATTTTATACTTTTGAACCAATATCAATAAAAGCAGAATTTTACCTTTAATTGAAAATTATTTAAATCAATAAAAAAAAAGATTGAGAAAATCTGATTCTAAGTATTTAGGGAATATGTGAACTTAAAAATTCATTTTATTTTTAATTTGGCATTGGTATGTGTTTAAAGAAGACTAAGTTAAGATAAGATTGACATAAATATAATGCCTTTCCCACAAAATTACAGTTTTTAGGTTCCAATAGACCAGCTCCTTATTATAGTCCGTAAAAACATATGATATAAATTATTTTTGTATTCCTACTGTTAACAATTTTGTATTTTAAAGGACATTGCTCGTTCCCCATACATTGAATGCCCCAGAACGCACAGCAAAGAGTTGTACTTGGAATCATTCATAAACTCTAATTAGGCATTTTTTGAGATACAGACAACTTGAGGACCCGTGGCCTTCTACAGAATGTATTCTGATTTACTTTAGACAATAAAGTATAATAACTATACATCCTCATATAATTATTATACTTTATCGTAAAAGATGTACACCCGATGATTTAGTGTTTACCTCTATGTAAGCACTTAAATAATATGCATTAAATGAACATAAAATGCAATTAATAATAAAACTAATAAATGCTTATATAATATTAATATATGAGAGTTGGCACCTATGATACCTATACCTGCCTGTTGTTATAATAGATTGCTTTTCAAATGAAATGTTAAAAGGCTTTCCATTTACCTGTTTCTATATTTTACTATCGGTAATTAGGTATGTACCTGGTTATGATGAGATATTATATGGGGTGGGAGTATAAACTATCTATATATGTATAATTTCAGAAATTATCTTTTTATAAATATAATATAAATACTAGTGATAAGTATTATTAACTAAGGTACCTTGTTCTATTCTTATGTTGATAAATATCTATGGTCGCCTATATTGCATTTATTAAGGCATTTGAATAGATATATTCAAAATGGAATAGAATTGAATTAAAATAAAACACTTGTATGTGAAATAATTTTGTGAACCTCATTGGCAGAAGGTGTTGAATTTAGATGAGACAGTCTCTTATGGCTCTAAAGATGGCATAGCAGCCAAATGTTTACAGTCTGTTCATCCTAACTTGTCCTATGTAGTAAACAATCTTGGCACAACTTTTTAACAAAATCACCCATTTAAAAATAAAATAATAACGAAGCCAATAAACTATTAAAATAAATCATTATTATAAACTGAAACCTATTGAATCTAGTAATCAGTTGAATTTTAATGCTGTATTTTCAATAAAAAGGAGTGCCAAGATTGTTTACCAAATAAGACAAGTTAGCATGAACAGACTGTAGTATGTAGTAGCAGAACTTTTATTTTTTATTTTTTTAATCAGATTGTCATTTACTATGATTAATTGCTAATAAATTTAAGAAATAATAGTGTATTCTTTTGTGCATGCTGGGGCCGATTTCATCAATGTCCTTTAATGTAATCAGTTTTCAATATATTAACACAAGTTTCAAATGAAGTATAATAACATATTCAGTTTCTATTCTATATTAATAAATTGTGATATTACCTGTGTTATTAAGTGTTTGATGTATTGGCAGTATGATTCCTTGCCATCGATCCATGTGATAAGATCACTGCGTACTGTCTGAGAGTCCTTGCTCTTAGGATTAGATACTAATTGGCCTGCCTGTTGGAAAAAAGAATATAGTCTCTATGAACTACTTCACAGAAAATAATATAAAAAATAAAGCAACTAACGGCATGAATGCATATTTTACAATATTGAGTTCAGTGATTATTACACCCGCTAAAACATTGTTATTCATTCATTCATTAACATTGTTTAATGAACACAAGTTCAAACAGCAAGCTCTGATGTTGACTTTTATGCATTACTATGCTTTATTTATATGATTTTTTCCAATTAATTGTTTTCAACTTCACTTTGAAATTAATAGGAATACTCTTTTGTTTATCTCTAAAAGCATTAATACCTTAAACTCATTTTTTTTAATAGCTTACCGAAAATATACCTAATCTGTACATTTCCATCACTTCGTTACGTACTAATAAACCTTTCTCTCTACCAAGGAAATTGTCCAAAACACAAACACCATATTGAGTCATATCCCGCACTAGCCTGTGGCACACCTCATAGCATGGGTCACTTGGGTCCATGTAGTATGTGTTGGGCATGTGGTTGAATGGAGCTCCACTGTTTCTAAGTGAAGCTTCTGGATACTCCCTCATTCTCGTACTATGTTCTGTCCCTTGACTTGGTAACGCAGGCATTTTCACTTCTGTCCTGTTCACAGACTTTAACACATTACTTGTGCTGGCTGCACTAAAGTCATCAGTGTTCAGCTGTTGAGCGGGATCACTAAGAATTTCGTGTTCTGAAGAACCTTCGTACGTTATGGCACTTCCTCTGGTTAAGTCCCTATTTGTGTACACTACACTAGAAGTCACACTATTATTATTCTGGCCTTCCGAAGTAGCACTAGCACTTTCACTTTTTTTCACGCTCTCGGCAGAAATTTGCGAATTATGTTTACTAACACCTATTACGCCAGGTGACTTCCCACCTATTTTCTTTGACTTTCTCAAACGTTTTATATCATCATCACTGCCGTCTTTAGCAGTGGTCTCGGATGCCTTGATGTCGATGGAGTCACTAGTAACATTATTTTGTTGAGGATTCACAATTTCGGCATTGTGGTTTGCACATTCACCTACTTTTGAAGGTGCATTCCCTTTTTTTAAAATCTTGGGTTTGCATTCACGTTTGTGACGTTTCCAATCTTCCCGTTGATGGCCCGTGCTACAATAATATACGTTTAGACAACGAGCGCACCTGCGATGTGTTTCTTTATTGCAAACGGCGCAACAAGCGAGTACGCCCTCTTGATTCATTCTGAATATAATTTCTTTTCGTCGAGGGCCGGCCCCTGCGCGTTGAAGCTGACTAACTGTCACTGTCATAGAAAGTGTCACATCATGTGACATAACGTATTTGTTTCTTTATTTTTCCATAAGGTATGCAAAGAATATAAAATTCAATTAGCCTAATACTTGCTTAAATTATGACATCATTGGTGTCGATTCTGACATGATTCTGGTTCTAAACCTAAACCTAATTGGACAACAGTGCATCCGTCATTCTCTATACAGAATGAAAAGGAGAGACTGATGTTAAATTTAGTTTTAAATTTAGAGAATCATGTCAGAATCGATAGCAAATATAACAGTTTTTTTTTGGAGTACTTACCTATTTGACATTACCGAATTTCAAATATTTTGTTGTAGGTACTCGTAGCAATATGCTAACTTTATTGAAGTAGTACATAATTTAGTAGGTTACAAAATTCTATTATTTAACTTAATCTACACTAATATAAATATTATAAAGAGGAAAGATTTGATTATTTGTTTGTTTGTATTGAATAGGCTCCGCAACTACTGGACCGATTCAAAAAAATCTTTCACATTTAGAATCCTGCATTATCTGTGATGAACTAAAGGCTATAGTGTATTTTCATAAAAGTTAGGGTTCGAATAAAAACTTTGATAATGTAACCCTACAAAAAATATCAAGAAATTACCTTATATCGCGTACGCTGTCGATATAAGGTAATTTCTTGATCGAGTCATTGACAATAGAACAAAGTTATGTACTAAAGTTTTATAGAGGATATCAATATTTACAAAATATAATAAATAAATATATGCCTTTTCACCCGCGTTAATTTTTAGAAAATAGTGAATCTAACTTAAAATATGGACATATGCTATCACGGACTTTTTTCATCATCATCATCAGCCATCTTATGTCCCCTGCCCCTCTGCTGGGGCACAGGCCTTCCCTATGGATGAAATAGGGAGATTGGGTCGTGACTCATCACACGGGCCCAGTGTGGAATGGTGGGTGCTAACGACTGCAGATGCAACCGGGGCCAAAGGCTTAACGTGCCTTTCGAAGCACGGAGGAGCTGGACAAAATAAATTTTGGTCACCCATCCAATGTTGCTTGAAAGTTGTTGAAAGTTGCTTTACTTCACCGATCGCAGCCGAACGCGTTAACCATTTGCGCTATCGAGCTCCCAAAAACCAGAAAAAGTATTACTACTCAGATTTTTAAGAGAAATTTTAAAGGGGAATAATTCCGTCATGACAAATGGAATATTTTTAACCGTTTTTGGGCCATTTTTCATCGATGCTCCGCTGCTACTGGTCGTAGCCTGATGTTATATAGCCTTCCTCGATAAAAGCTATCTAATTAAAACAAAAAGGGAAGATACGGCAGTCGCGGCTCAAAAGTGAGCCGCTTAAATTATGGTGCATGACCGCAAGTCGCTTTAGTCACAATTGGGCATTCAAACACGTTTCATGTGCATTCAACACACTATTGCGTATATTCTGTGTTATAAAGATATTACGCCTTCGATGCATTATTATTATAAAGAAAAGAACACAAATTATTCAAAATTAAATGCCTCGGCAACACTTTTCATTCGAAAAACTGTAATTTTTTTTTAAATTACCGTTTGTCGTGAATATTATTTACGTAATTGCCATTTTGCTATCAAGAAAAGGACAACAATACAGCTCAGCCGTGCAGACGCGGAAGCGGACTCTTGACTGTCTCGCTCGCTCGATTGAAAGTTTATTTAACGACGTGTGCGTGTGTGACAGTTGCTTATGTAATCATATTTTATTTGATGCTAGTAGAGCCTACCATATCTTCCCTTGCTGCTATAATCTAAGCTATTTCTCAAAAAAAAAAAAAATAGTTTGTCCTGAAGGTCATTCCATTTGTTATCAAGAAAAGAATAACAATACAGGGTTTTTTTTTTTTGCAACTTTGCAGTCAGATGAAAGGGCGCGAACACTCAAACTGTTGTGAGGGAAATCCTTAACTAATTTAAATATTACTTTCTAAGTAGCCCTTTTTCTATTATTTTGTACTTAAGTTATTATTAGTAGTCTCTAATTTAATAAGTGATGAACGAAGATAGTGGCGGCAGGCATTCTGCCGCCAAACGTAAACTTATAGGTGAAGAAGATTCTCCTCCACTCAAAATGGCGGCAAATTTTATACACAATAAAAGGGGTTTATTTAAAGATTATGTCCATTTGTACACAGAGGACAATAAAAAAGAGTATCCCATATTGATTTCATCTGTAACACCCGGTACCAAGTTTGACCTGATGAAAACAAATTCAATTTTAAAATCTTGCTCAGGTTTACTTTTTGTAAAAGCCATCGGCAATTTTCTAATTAAAGCTCTCTTTAGTAATAAGAAAGATGCCAATGCCTTCATACTTTCGAAGAGCTTACTACAAAATCAGCAGTGGCAAGCAAAGATCCCATATGACCACCTGGAGAGCTTGGGTGTAATAAAAGTGCCTACTGAGTTGTCAGAGGAAGATTTATTGACCAATTTGAAGTCCAGCAGTGAAGTAATAGGAGTAAAACGCTTCATGAGAAAAAACAGTGATGGCTCCTTCTCTCCAACTCCAACTGTTTTAGTTACATTCTTGAGCTCAATACGACCAGATCATCTTACATATGATCATATTTGGTTTGATGTGAAGGAATATAGGATATACTGTACTTCCAGGGCCCAAAAGTAAAAACTTCACAGTTTTGTTGGTTGTAATTTCGCATTTTTGTTGTTAAAAAGGTTTCTGTTAACCACATTATTAAAAAAGATGTCACACTTATGCACTGGTAGTTTTTTAGAAAAAAATATTGAAAATTTTTACTTTTCTTATCAAGTGGTGATACTTCACACTAGGTTAGGTTAGGTTAGTGTTGTGACCATAACGCGCGAGCCGAGCGAGCAAAGCGAGCGTGCCGCGGCAGCGGCCGGCGAAGCGCCAAAAAAAAAATCTGTTAAAAAGACCTTTTCTACAAAAAAAAAAAACAAGTATCACCTTTTGGGCCCTGGAAGTACAGTTTTACCGGAATATATTAGACCAATCAAACAATGTTTCGTCTGTTACAAATTTGGACATGGTCGTGGTTCTTGCAAGAGTCCACAGGTCTGCTCTATCTGCTCAGGCAATCACTTTTTTAAGGACTGCAACAACAAAGAAAATACTAAATGTAGTAACTGTTCCGGACCTCATATGGCAGTAAGCAATTTATGTCCAGTTAAAAGTGCCAAAAACCAAGAGTTGAAGGACAAAATTAATGGGAAGATAACATATGCAAAGGTCGCTGGAAAGGTAAAGTCTACCTATAGAGAAGATCCAGGTTCAACATCGGACCCTCTAGCTTCACCACCAAGACTCAAGAATTTAAAATTATTGAATGTTCCCCAAAAAAGAGTATTATATACAGATATAATTAATTCAGATGAAGTGTTAAATGTTCTTACTAAAACTCTTGTTGATTTAAAACTAAAGCAAAACGGAGATGCTATTTCTTCAAAAGTCATAAAAGAGTTGCTTATTACAAACTTTTCAGCATAACTTTTATGGATAATAATTCTAGAATTGGATACCTTAATATCATTCACTGGAACTGCCGTAGCATTGGACCAAAACTGAATCAGTTTAACTATTTCATTACTTCACAAACAGCTGATATTGATATAATTTTACTTAATGAGACTTGGTTGAATTCATCCAAGTCATTTAAGTTACCTGGATTCAAGGTTATACGTCGTGATTCTGATTGCGCCCATGGAGGTGTGGCACTGGCTATAAAAGATAAATATATTTATAAATTAATTAACACTCCATCCAACTATCACTTTCAAAACTTATTGGTCTCTGTAAAAGTTGGCTCTATTTATGTTGATATTCTTTCTGTATATATACCTCCTCCTCCTAATGGGAGATTTAAATTAAATATGCTTTCACATTCTTTTACTTGCATAAAGAATAGGAATTATTTGATCATCGGAGATTTCAATGCTCACCAAACGGCTTGGGGCTCCAGATTTAATGATAGAAGAGGTAATATAATTTATAATTTTGCAGATGAACATAACCTAGTTTGCCTGAATGACTACACTATTACCACTGTTGCTCCGTATGGTCAGAATGGTAATGTATTAGACTTGGCTTTCGCATCATCTACGGTGAGTTCTAGTTGTTCTTTTTCTGTGCATGATGATCCTTTGAGCAGCAACCACTTTCCTGTTTTCATAACTGTTTTATATAATGTTTCTTTAAATATTGATAACGAAGCCTTGTCGGCAAGTAATACCACTCCTTTGTCTGATAACATAGGATTGTCGGGTATGAACTTCCATAAAATAGACTGGTCAAAGTTTTCCCGGCTCTGCGATGATAGTTTTTCCACTTTTTCTTTAGATTTTGACCCCCTAAATAGTTATAATTCATTTACTAAAACGTTAAGTAACGTGTTGTTGACATTTTCTAAGAAGAATGATTGTTGCCATACCAAAAATATCAAACGCAAGGCTATTATTTGGTGGAATGACAAATGTTCTAAAGCTGTTAATGAATCTAAACTTGCCTTAAAATCTTATAGAAAGTACCCCACTTTGGAAAATTACATTCTCTATAAAAGATTTGACGCTAAAAAGAAAAGAATATTATCGGAACAAAAACTTTTAAGTTGGGCCAATCTATGTAACTCTTTTAACAGAAAAACACCTGTAAAGCTAATATGGGATTACGTAAAGAGATTTAAGTTTGCCAAGTTGGGCTTTAGCGCGAAAACACGTTTTTTCGACAATTCTTCAAATGCTTCTGCTTATTTAGATAAATTAGGGTCCCAAGTTTGTGGAACCGTCCCTAACAATTTAGATTCATTATTTTTGTCTGTAGGTTCTGAATCTGCTAAATGGATTCGTGATCCTTTTGAATTTTTTGAGTTACAAGCGTCTCTAGATAAGAAAAAGGACACCTCACCTGGTCCTGATTATATCCCCTATTCTGTTATTAAAAATCTACCTAAAAATGTTAAACTTATTCTTTTAAATATTTATAATCAATTGTGGTCACATAATAAGATTCCTCCAATCTGGAAAAGGCAGT